ACGCTCGGAATCTAATACGAATTTAATGAAAATAAAAAACCAATATTTTCAAAAGAATAAACTATTTTTTTCAATTTTTTTTTTACCTAAACATACAAATTTAATTCAAGTATAAACATTTTTAGTCCTTTTCACTGTAAGTTATATACATATATATATACACAAAATAACAGAATTTAATTATCTTTATTATCTAAGGAGATATTGCATTATTATCTTCGTAGGACGCCCTTTATAAATGTAAATAAAAATCAGCGAGCGTCCAGCGTGTGCAGCTAATTATATTTTAATACACATATGAACAAATAAATTTAAATATACATACTTTTACAATAATATTACTGCAAGTACAAAAATAAACAGTAAAATACTAAACTGATGCAGAAGAAATAATATTAACTGTTTTATCGATCAGTATTATAAATTGTATTTAAAATGTCTGTAAACCAGTAAAATAACAAGTTTACATAAATGTGTTCTTAAATTATACTTTTATCTTAAATTATTATCAAATATAGAAACGCTAATTTGTTAATAATTTGAACATAATATGGCAATATTGTTGATAAAGCAATATTATTAATCAAACTCCGCTCAGAATCGCTTTTCAATTGGCAATGGCTAATCGTTGCGTACAGATATACATTAAATTTCCATTACATTTCCAACTTTTCACCTACAACAGTGGCCTAACCACATGCGAAGTATGTCCATCTCTTTTATTATTTGCTGCCTTTTTCTTTGACAATCTCGGGAAGTTTATTAAAATAATTTGCTGAAAACAAATCAAATATTCAAAATAAACTTAAATTATAATTTGGATTGGAATCTTGGCTATAGTAAAAAAATCTAGTTGAACAATCATTTTTAACTCCGGATTTTTACCTAAACGTTTTTCATTATTTCGAAGACAATAATAAATCATTTAACTTAAAATTAAACAAAAATATTCGGCGTTTTGATGTCATTTGAGTAGTATATTTGTGAATAATGATATAAAACTGTAAGTACATAATTATGATATACATTTAGGGGACTAATCGAAAAATCGGGGTATTAGCACCCCCAAGCCCTCTTAGCTCTGCCTATGTACCTATATAAGTCCCGAACCCTCGATATCAAAAATAGTTTATGAACCGAAAATCGAACACAATTTTAAATTCAAATGGTTAGGCCGTTTAGGGTATCATTAAAACATAATTTGACATGATTACTTTTTGTGTGACGGCGAAGATTTTGTCTTCCGATTCTAGTGTATTGAAATACTATTTTCATTTTTAAAGTAGGAATAATATACTTGAAAAATAAATGCTCCACAATGAAATAACGTTCTATTAAATATTATATTATTGTACTATTATAATACTATACGTCTGTCAAAATATAAAACTATTTTATAATATTATCGTTTTGACATCTATATAATATCATGTATACCTACCTACATCGTATTTATTATCTATTCGCTTCCTTGTATTATGAAAACTATTATAACTTAAAAAAAAAAACAAATAGGTAAACATTTTATAAAGCGTTAAAATAACATATATTTTCCCCATTAAAAACTAATTTTAAAAAAAGTAATCAAAATGACGTTAGTTTGTTTAAGTTAATAGGTATACCTACACATACAAAAATAAAAATAACTAAGGAATTTAAAATATTTAGAATGTCTAAATAGACACTACGTGTTTGTAATAATAATTAATGTAATAGTATTATATATATAATTATATACATTCTACATACCTACCTGTACGTCTGTGAACTAGATACGATTTCTTATTTTGATAATTTCGAAATGAAGTTATTACCGTGTGTTACTCTTGTAGACTATTATCATGTTTTCGTTAATCAATAGTATTATTTCTGATATATCGGATAGTAGGTACCCATTCGGTTTTTTGTAATTTTTTTTTTCGGCAATTTAAGAAACAATTAACTCTAAAATGTTACATTGCCACCATTATCTTTTTGTCACCCTGATTTTTGGGGGTGAAACGATTACCTACTTTTAATTTTCAAATAGCAATTCGATTATCGTGGTCCTTGAGGCCACAGAAATGATGCTACACTACTCTCCCTTACCAAATCTTAAAAGTGAAATTTCTCATAATTGGTCTATACAATTTACAAATTTCAACACCAATTGCATTTATTTAAACTAATATCTCATCCATTTAATGGAATTTCGAATATAGGTTACCATTTAAAAACCAAAAGTAGGTACCTAGTCCTTTTGCATCCAAAAATAAAGGCGACAAAAAATAATAGTAATGTAACATTTTAACGCTGCTTGTTTCATGAATTGTCAAAAAATAAATAATTAATACTGCAACGATTAACCATTATTAACGAAAAACGATTCTGAGCGGAGTTCGGTTAATAGTGTTGCTTTTTCAACAATATACATGTCATATTATGGTAAAATAATTACATATTTATTATACATTTTCTTTAATAATATTTGTTTAATATTGTACCTTTTTTCCCGTTTTCCTATGTTTTTTCCTGATTTTTCACACGAGACAACTCCTGGGAAAATCAAAAAATTACCTTCTAAAATACCTCCCTAGTTAGGATTCCTTTTCAGAAAAAGAGCTATCATTGTAAATTGAAGCAAAATGCAAAATTGTTGGTAGAAAAGCTGTCCACAGAAATAAATAAATAAATGTACATTAAAAAACCAATATATTCTTCACTTTACTCAGAATCTAAAGTTCTACATTACACTAAATTTTTTTTTTATTTCTTAACACAAACTATGACTTATAATGAATCTCCTGTTAAATTTTTTAGCATTTCTGTTAGGCCTAACAATTTTATTCACAGAGTACTGTTAAGTGGCCCGGTGCCGGAGCCGTTTTTACTGACGAAAATTAGTTTACGGAAATAATGATAAGTAATTAATAATTACTCAGATTACTCATTGTAAATTCAATATTTTCATAACAATTTTGTTTTTTTTCATTGATAAACAACAACATTCTTCAGGCCACATTGAACTTTGATTTATTAAATCCGATTTTAAATAACGGAAAAAAAAACTAGTAAAAAACCCCCAAAATTTACTTACTTATTTTAAAAATCCATTATAAATGTTGAGAATAAAACATTGAAAAAACGAAGTTCTATGCGGTCTGTAAAATGTTTCCCTCTGTTAATAAAAAAAAAACAAAAATAAACTTTGGTTGATTCTACTATACAGTATCACTATTTCCGTAGAGCATATTTTTGTAAACAAAAAGACATGGTCTTAAATAAAAATGTTAGGCATGCCTACTTATTTCGTACCTAAGTATCACAGATATATAAAACAATAGGTAAATTATATATTTTATATATTTGTGATAATAATATAAAAGTATTTACCGACACTACTTGTTACATTCCGGAGACCAGTCCTTTGCCTGTTTACAGAACTCATGCGGCTTCGACAAACTGGTTATTTGAGTGCTACGGCGATAATCCTAATTTAATTATTACCGGTGACTATAATTTCCGCGGAAATATGTACTCGGTGTTGTTTCCATTATGTGTCACAAACTTTGTCTGCCCCCTCCTTGAAGGGTTAAAAATTGAAATCGTATCTATATCATAAATTATCAGAAGCGCAATCAAAACATTTTTTTCAATAGGGAGAGTGGGGTTATGAATTTAAACAATGTGCGACTCTCGACAAATGGGTTATTGTTGTGGGTGGGTAGCTGGAAAGGCATAGGGATATACAGGGTAATTTAGTTGTTATACAACGACAAATCTGTTTGTGAGTTTTTACTGCTGATTACTGCGCTACTATTGTAGATGGGTAGTTGGGAAGGTGGGACACATAAAGTTATTTAATTTATACCTGTAACCAACGTGAAACCATTGTTAACGAAAAACGATTCAGAGCGAAGTTCGATTATATATGATTTGAAAGCCTGCATGTTTAACATTTTTGTTAAAATTTGATTTTAAATCTCGTATAAAAAAAAAAAATACTACATAACATTCATTTTTGTCGACTTATGACTTTATGATGAAAACCATGTCAAAATGTCAAGCATTTCTGTTTAGTTTAACAATTTTATTCACATTTTATCCATCAAATAAAAGTTATGTAAAAAAACTCGTAAAATGAAAATGTCTATTCATAGCTCAAAAATGGCTCAAATGTTTTGTAAAAGGTAAATATAAGGTTTCTGGTTCAATTTCAAGTCGGTACGAACATTTTTAATTGAACTACAACAAAAAACATTGAAATAATAAAAGCATTAATTTCGTTCATTTTCTCGTTTTTCCTAAGTTTTTCCCAGGTTCCTCTAATTATTATTAAAACTACTTGAGAGAAATTAAAATTACCTCCTTCTCCCCAGTAGCATCACCCCAAGAAAATTTTCTTTCAGAAGTGGTGCTACACTTGATCAATTATTCTTTTAAAAAATGGGTACACAGTATATAAAAAAAAATATATTAAACGCTTCGCTTAGAATTTAAAAAAACAACAAAACATTATAGTTTAACTAATATCTACATTCTACATTGCTCTTCAATCTAAAATTTAAAAACATTATTAGGTAGTAATAATAGTTTATATTTTGAGAGATGTATACAATGTAAAAAATAAACTCCTTATAGACTCGGTGTACGCAACACAACATAGCTGGTGGCATTCCATTTGTACTTACCTACTTCAAAAGGTATTTCGAAATGATAAAATAATAAACGAATCGACAGGACCACTACATAATATTGTAGGCAGTATCCTAGGCACGTACACTATAATATTATTCTTGGGTCACGATTCCGCGATTTCTACACAGTCATGGCTATTCCGAAGAAAAAAAAAATCATAAATCAGAACGCACATAATAATTTATAATCTGATAATATAACATCATGTTATCATATTATGTTTGGTTCTGTTCACTAACCAACTGTTCAAAGATCGTTAGTGGTTAATATTATTATCATCAGTAATGTTGTAGATTAAGATTAGGAGCAGATAACGTTCAAGGTATTCTAATTGTTCGTATATTTTAGTATTTTGTTTTTTTATTTGTGTTCTACATTTTTTAAATATTTTTATTTAAACAGAAATAATTTTGCCAGTTAAGTTATAGTTTTTAAAACGTGTAACTCTGTTCAATTCCACCAGCAGCTCCTGTTCTTTCAATCTCTACTGTTGTCAAGATTACGACATTGTTTCATCTACCGCTACATATGTATAGTAGTGATATTCAACAGGTTTTTAAGTAAATATTGTATTTTAGTTAAACGTACACTATTTTTTTTAAAATATCCCTACGTATTGAATAATGGATGTATCATTTGTTATAATAATATGATATTTAATGTCAGCAATATAATAACACTCTTTATTCTATTACTCAATGTATTGCCTTATTATATATTGAGTAAAGTAAATTAATTTCAGAGTAAATGTTTCATAATATCTACTTATTTATAAAAAATACTGACTATTGATTAATTTTCACGGTCTTAATGTGTTTTAGATGTTGAAAGTAATAAATATTCAACATAATAACCATGTCTCGAGGAGAAAAAACCAAACCAACCACCAACTTTGTGAGTACCATTGTTTTCAGTTTTAATTTTTTCTTAACTTAAATTATAATAATATTTTACAATGATAATCAAAAATGTATGTATTTCATGAGAGATTTAATGATAAATTTGTCTAGAAGCTTGATAATTTTTATTTTAATATAAATTCTGATAAATTGTATACAATATAACTGTACCTATGTATAATTACATAATATTTCTATGTGTGGTGTTTCTTATTCCAACTGTTTTTTTTTTTGTATGAACACTTAATTATATTTTTTAATCTTTGTGCCTATAGCTAGATACATTGTTTGGACGACCCAAAAAATATGGGTCAGCGGCTTCATCAAATTTGGGCGGTATCGGTGGAAACACTTTAAATCACAGTGGCAATACAAACACATATGGAACTGGCAGTCGCTCTTTGCCACGCATCAACTCGGATAATGATATTTCTGGGGGTCACACCGATGCAGATGAGTGTGAAATGTTTGTTGAACATTTAGATGTAGAAGCACTCAATGATAAATTCGAAGAAATGCTGGTAAAAATAAATAAACATTTAAAATATCTATTTATTTTTACGAAATAATATTTTTATCAATTTGATACTTTTTTTTTAAATATATATTTAAAGATCATCTTGTATACATCTTAATATTAAGGGTGTTCCAGGTACATTATTTATTAACAAATCGGGTACCGAATATTGGCTTAGTAATAATTTTTATAAATGTTGGTTACTGAGTAGTCGTTGGGTACATAATATGATATTGTGTATCTGGTTAGGATTCGATAGCCGAGTACCCGGAACATCTCTAATAGTTATATTTTTAAGATTGTAATATTATAAACTGTATACCTATATTTACCTATTTGCAATGATTAAAGTGGGGGGACAGAAATGAAAGAGGGTGCTGGATACGGTCGAGTAAACATTTTATAATATCGCCTGGTAACAAGTAGTCGGCGGGTACAGAATATGATATTGGTATCTGGTTAGGACTCGATAGCCGGGTACCTGGAACATCTTTACTGAATATTTTATTTCTTGAATATTTAAATGTTAATTGTATGTAATGTTTTTGCTTATTATATATAGGATGATATGAATTTAACGGAAGAAAAAAAGACCCCACTAAGAGAACAAACAGTAGTAAACAAAAAGAAAATGTTAATGATGCACTATAAAAAATCAAGCAATGTAAGTTTGTATATTGAAAAACAACTAACAAATAATTATTTAGGCTAATACTCAAAAATAAATAAATTTTGAATAAACATGTGACAACAAAATTAGCCTGTGGCTTTATATTTGATGTATTTTATGTACGACCAATTTTGTTTTATTAAATTATTAAATTTATAGGAAGGAAATAAAAATAAAGTGTGCGATAAACCTATAGAATATATTCAGTATCTTTCACAACCAGATTTAAGTGCAAATAAAACTTATAACTGTGTGGTATCCTTACGCATAGCTTTAACCAATCATCCATTAAGTTGGGTTAGTGAGTTTGGCACTGAAGGATTACGTCAAGTATTATCTGTTCTCAATGAATGTTATCGCAAGTAATTACATATTTTTACTATATCTCACTAAACTATACCAAACAACATTTTAGAAATCTAAATATTTTAATACTTAAATGTTTGAAATAAAATTATTGTCATTATTTTGTTTTAGTGATGGAAAAAATACACAATTTGCCCGAATACAATATGAATGCATTAGATGTTTAAAAGTCATAATGAATAGTACTGTTGGACTAAAACAAATGTTTGGACAGAAAGAGGCATTGACTGTCATAGCTCGGTCATTGAATATTAATAAGCCGGCTGTTATGCTTGAGGCAGTAAAAGTTTTAGCTGCTGTAAGTTTAATACCACCAAATGGTCATGAGAAAGCTCTGGAAGCAATCACAATGAGTGCAGATATAGAAAATCGTTGTAGATTTTTACCTATAGTACAGGGTCTAAAAAACATAAGCAACGAGGCATTGAGAGTAAGTGAATATTTGTATTTATTTATGTGTATTATTCCCTTATTTATAACATTTATACATTTGTAGAGTGTACCTGCAATCTGTATACATTTCAAACTTATCCCAATAATTTTTCTTTCTACATTTGTATTTGATTCTTATACTTATAATTATAATCCTGTTTAGTATTTTATATAAATACAGTGGAACCTCGTTGAGTAGAAATTCAAGGAAAATGCAATTTTTTAAATTTATTGAGGTTTTTGCCTTACTAAGGTTTTTGAGTTTTTAAGGTTTTAGAAAATAAATTTGATTTACAGAGTTTTTATAATGCATGAACTTATTATAGTTTTAATTACTATATAGGATATATTATGAACAATGTACATATAATTACATTGTGTATTGTTGTTATTATTTTAAAAATTGTATTACTAAACAATTATGATAAAAAATGTGATTAAATAATTAATATAAAACAAATGTGTATAGTTTTGCAACTATAAATAATAGATAATTTGTTATCTTACTTTGACTTAGAGTTTGAGAGTACATGCTATTATTAATATTATTTTCTACAATATTTAGAGCAGAGTACACTTTATTGTCCATATTAATTATTTGTTTGATTGACTATACCCAATATAGTGAAAATAAACCAAATAAAAAATATGATAATAAACTCAATAAATGGGACTAGGTTATATTATGGGACCACAAGCTGATTAGATAAATGATTATAAAAATTATTCATCTATATTCGGAACACAGAATGTTTGAGTTTTCTATAGTTTTTCTTTGAATAATTGAGGTTTTTACAAGGGACTGGCATTTATTTTGACTTATCAAGGTTGCACTGTAATCTATTTATTTCAATTAATTCATAGATCATAATTTTAAAATAAAATTATTATTAATATATACTGTAAATAAATAATCATACAATTAAGTATATACTTTAAAAATGAATACAATTTTAAATTTGTGTTGAATATTATTAATTGAATTTATGTTCACTATATTTTACAGGTGGCGTGTTTACAATTTATCAATGCTATTGTATCAACTCCCGAAGATTTAGAATTTCGTGGTCATTTACGAAATGAAATTATGCGTGCTGGCATGTATGATGTTATTGATGTAAATTTATTATAGTTATATTTAATTTATTATTAGTTGTTTATAAAATCAAGTACTATTGAAAAATATAACCATAATAACATAATTTATGATTTTTAGAGTTTAGAAAAAAATTGTAGCGAAGACCTTAGTAGACAATTAAACATATTCAATTCGCATAAAGAAGATGATTATGAGGAATTAATTCAGAGATTTGATAATGTACGTATGGATTTTGATGATGTTGGAGAATGCTTTGATGTTATTAAAAATATTGTTGCTGATACACCAGCAGAATCATATTTATTATCAATATTACAACATTTTTTGTTTATTAAAGATGATGTCGCTATCAGGTAAAATTTCACAAAAACAAATTAATTTATAAAACTAAGTTAAATTAATTTTTCAATTAAACATTTCAAACAATAATAATGAAAGTAATAAATTTATCATTTTATTGATTTTATGTTTATATTGAGTTCGGCCTCCTTAAATTTAAAACCTAACCTAAATCATTTGTATTTTATTAGATTAGCCATTCCTCTAAAACTTTATGAATTATGGACTACTTAATAATTAATTTCCCACCAAAAATACTCCCAGGCAGTATTTTTAGGTCGTAAAAATAGTTGGTCCATAAATAAGATAATAAAACTAACCATTCAACTGCAGAATTCTTTAAATTAATAATATATAATATACCTCTTTAAAAATATAAACAGTGCAAATATATTATTTATTTATTTATTTTAATAAAGGCCTGCTTTTTACAAACTCATAGAAGAATGTGTATCACAAATTGTTCTGCATCGCAACGGCTGTGATCCTGACTTCCGTGCTACCAAAAGGTTTCAATTAGATGTCCAACCATTAATTGATACTTTGGTTGGTTAGTATTAATTATTTGTAATCGAATGATCCCAGAAAAGGAATTACTGTATTATCATATTTTACAACTAAAAAATTTATTTGTTTATAATATTATTTTTAAATAGAGAAATCTAAAGCAGAAGAAGATAGAAGAGTCGAAGAACTAAAAGATAAATTAGAATTAGCGGTAGCCACCCGTCAAGAAGCTGAAGCAAAATTAATTCAGGCTGAAACTGTAATAAATGAACTCAAACTAAACACTTCAATTGAAGGTGTAAGTATTCAGCTTCTGAGCTTAGTGAAAAATGTATTATTTTAAATTAATGTGTATTAATGTTTATATTACATAAATAATTATAGTCATTTAAATTATAGTATAGCTTAAATATTTTGTAGGTTTAGTATTAATTTTTTATTTTATAACTATTTAAATGGTATTTTACAATTTACTTTTCTTTTATTGTAATACATTACCTAAATTTGACTTGTTTAATAATTTAGAATGGAAAACTTGGATTGAAAAATCCACAGAGTGGTAGTCAACCACCAATTCCACCACCACCACCACCACCACCACCTGGAAACTTGCCACCACCTCCACCACCACCACCCCCTATGCCTGGATGCCCCATTCCACCTCCACCGCCAGCAATGCCTGGATTTGGTCCACCACCACCTCCACCAATGCCTGGTATGATGGGAGGTGCACCACGTCCACCACCTCCGCTCACAAACTTAGCAATGCAATTACCTCCTGGACTTAAACCAAAAAAACAGTGGGCAGTAGAAGGATTGAAAAGAGCTAATTGGAAAAGTGTATGTAAATCTATAAACATTAAACATAAAAAAAAAAAAAACAGAAACTATATTTATTTACCAAAAAAATCATGTGATATTATATGTATGTATGTAGATATGATATTAAAAAAAATATCAAATTAGTTTAATACTAAATTGAAATCCTAATTTAAATATTTGATTTAAAATTACATTGAATATGTTATTGTATTTTTATATATTTATAGTATATACATTATGCATACTTTCTTATACTTTATTATTTAGATAATACCGCAAAAAGTATCAGATAAATGTTTTTGGGCACGGGTGCAAGAAGAAAACTTAGCTTCAAATGACATATTACAAGGTCTAACAGAAAAATTTTCTTCAAAACCCGCTAAAAAAATCATTGAAAATTCAACTGACAAGTAAAATAATGTTTGCTGTATTACATATTTGTTACTCAAATGAGCTTAATTTATATTTTTAGATTAAATAACCCAAAGAAAGTAAGAAGTCTACAAGTTTTAGAACCCAAGGCCTCACAAAATCTTTCTATATTATTGGGCGGTTCTTTGAAACACTTAAGCTATGCAGATGTGAAGCGTGGTGTTCTTCGATGTGATGATACAATTTTAAAAGGCAATGTATTAGACCAGCTAATTAATTACCTTCCTCCACAGGACCAATTAAAAAAATTAAAAGATTTAAATTGTGGCTATGAAAATCTTGTAGAATCTGAGCAATTTGCAGTAACGGTATTTATGATTGATAATTTTTTTTCTATATATATTTGAATTGAATGTTTATCTCAAAAAATTAAATGTTTCATATACTTTTCTTTTTTTCAGATGGGTGATATTAAAAGATTGTTACCAAGGCTAAAATCTTTAAACTTCCGTCAACATTTCCCTGAAATGGTACAAGATATTAAGCCAGCAATTATTGCTGGAACAGCAGCTTGCGAAGAAGTTAAAAGTGGTGTAAAATTCAATAAAATTTTAGAACTTGTATTGTTATTTGGGAATTATATGAATAGTGGCTCTCGAAATGGTCAAGCATATGGTTTTGAAATTAGCTTTTTGCCTAAAGTATGTGCCAAACATACTATTTATATTATTTATTTACATTTGTTATACCTAAATATCAACTAATATTTTATTTGAAAAGCTTGCTTCAATCAAAGATGTGGAAAATAAATCATCACTTCTTCATTACTTGGTTGATATAGTTGAAAAAAACCATCCAGACTTAATAACGTTTGGTGATGAACTAACACATTGTGATCGTGCTGCTAGAATTTCAATGGATGTTATTCAAAAGACTTTACGTATTATGGATACAAGTTTACGTAATCTCGATTTAGATCTTGCAAACAATTTTAGTAAACAAAAATGCAATGAAGAAGATTTATTTTCAGAAGTGATGACGGTAAATATTAATTTTATTTTTATTCTATTCACAAATTATTTTATACATTATCTAATAAACTTATATTTTAAATTATAATTGAAATACTATTATTATTTGAATTATGTATAAACATAGTAATGATATCAGAACAATAAAGTAGTTCTGTTCCAGTTGTTTTAATATTATTTTTTTTAATAGCCTTTTGCAAAAGAAGCAAAGTCACAATTTGAATTGTTACAAAATATGTATAAAAAAATGGAAGCCCTGTATGACAATTTAGCTGATTATTATGTGTTTGACAAATCAAAGTATACATTAGAAGAATTATTTAATGATCTAAAAACATTTAAAGATTGTTTCTATGTAAGTATTAAGCAGTAAGCATTAATTATACAAAAATTAGAAATTAATAAAGATAGTTAACATTTTTTTTTTGTAAATATTCAAAATCAACCTTAGTGTTTGCCCCTGAATGGTTTTACCCTAACTTATTTTTTGATACATCTGTGATTTTTTTCATACTAATATTTTGTCATACTTAGAAAAGCTTCCACAAAAAATGTTGATTGTCTTGAAAAATATATTTTTTAAATTATTATGTAATAACTAAGAGTCTTTAAAATTGTATATTATATAATTTAGAAATCTTAATGATTTGGTTATTAAATAATATGAACAATTTTAAAACATTTTATTTCAATTTAAAAATATCAATTATAATTAAATAAAATAATTGTAGGATTATCAAAGAGAAAACCATAAGCAACGAGAGGCAGAGGAAAAAAGTCGTCGGGCTCGTGATGCTCGTGAAAAACTTGAAAAAGAGAAAAAAGAACGGTTAGCCCGTAAAAATGCACTGGTTGACATTAATGGTGATCATACACAAGAAGGAGTTATGGATAGTTTGTTTGAAGCATTACAAACAGGGACTGCATTTAGTCGAGATCAGAGACGTAGGAGGCCAGCTCCAACGGGTGGTAATATATTAAATTATATTACATTTCAATAAATTATTTTTTTAAATAATAATTAAACAATTGAATACATATTATAACCACTAGAACTTTTTCACTATTAATGTATGATTATAATAGTTTTTATTTAATTTTTTTTTTCATTTAGATGATAAAAGAGCTCCAATATTATATCGCAATAGAGCAGCAAAGTCTATTTTTACAGAACGAGATTTACCAACCACGAGAGTTCAAAATTAGTTATTAGTGAAATTTTATATTTTGTCCCTTTCATTGTTACTTATTGAACTGTATTAAATAAAATGACTAAAATTATAGGTCCATGTTCTATTTTCATTCAAAACATAATATTTATGAAAAGGCTGTTTATGTGAAACAATTTTTCTATGATTTTTACTGTACAAATTATTTTGATATATTGAGTGAAACATATTTTTGTTTGTCTGTTTTTAATTTGTCATGAAAAATTATGTCATAGAAGAATTAAAAAGGCCATATATTTAATATAATAATTAATGGGAACTCTTTTTTATAAATTAAATTTTATCATTGACCATTGCTCAGTTATATGAAATTAATTGAATTTAAATTTAATTATAAATTACAAAAAATTATTATAATAATATTTGTTTATTTATTTTTATTCATACTATTATTATTATTATTTATTATATTTATTTATTTATTTTTTTTTGGACGTGATAAATTTTATTTAAAATATAAATACTAGTGTTTAAAAAAAAAAAAATGATATATATATTATTGTATAATATTACCAATAACTTATAATCTAATCAAGTAAAATGCTTGTACTTAAAAAATATTTTTATTTTTAACATATTATTAAGTGTCATCAAATGTCTAAATCAAAAATGTGAAAATATCAATGCTTATTTGATTGTATAGGACCTTTTTGTGTAATAACCATAAAATACCAATGAATCTGTTTTATAATTGTAAAGAAAATGTTATGTAATTACATATTGTATTTTTTAAGTGCTCTTATGTATGTGTGTATATATAAGTATTGGTTATGAAATATTGCAACTAACAAATTATTATATACTTGTATTAAAATGTACATAGAAATTTAATATATTTATAGAAAATTAGTAAAATGTTTTATAATAACGATTATGTTAATGAAATCTACATATCTTATTGTATTATTTTGCTTTTATCAAAATTATTATTTAATAAACAGTGCACTAATATAGTTATTATTAATGTTATAAATCTTTAATATTTTATGAAATATAATTAAACTCATATTTTTGTTTCATCAAATAATAATGTCAAACCATACTGATTATACATATTTATTATAATTAATTCTGTTAAGTATACAGAACTGAAAATAAATATACTAAATAATTGAAACTAAATATTTATATTATGGAAAATTTAATATAATATACATCAAAATTATAATACTAATTATAAACTTTCTTGATCATCTATATTGCTGTGAATTGTTATAATAATATTTTTGTTTGTAATGTTGTGCCTAACTAAAAAAGTGTGTATGTGTATCCATGATGAAACTATATACATGTACATATTTCAATTGTTAAATGTAAATATTATTGGAGAACAAATTTCTAACAGAATATCTACAATAAAACTTGAAATCTATACCTATTAATAGTTTTAATTCAGTTTAATTAAATTTACTTTAATCAACAGTATTTTTGCTGGGTTATGTAAAAGTAAAAATATTATAGAAGCAGTTCTACACCATCTAATTTTATTGAAAAGTTACTCATCTATCTATTATTATTATTATTAAAATTATTATTTTTATTATTTGTTTGTTTCTCAAAAAAAAAATATTGGGCCTCACTAAGTATTCTCATGTGGAGACCCAGGTGTTATTATATTAACATGCGTTTAATTATAAAAATGACAATATATGTATAGTGAGTTGAGAAATATTCATTGTATAATATAAAGAAAATTATGTATCTATTGAAAACATTAAATTAAACTTAAAATATTGTTATGTATAAATCTGAAAACCAGCGAAGTTAGAATATTTCGTAATGTCTATTTTAAATCTATGAAGTGGTAATGTGTGTAGGTGTTTTGGTTTTAAGTTTAGAATTTTTGTACCGACAAATTCATATTGTTTTTGTGTGCCTGTTTAATGAGGCCAGTATATCGTAGTTATTTTTAGCGAATCTGGTACCTATATCATGATACAAGGTTGATGGGACATTATTTTTGTTTAAAAAAAGGACTGCTGATTTCAAATATAAGTTTTTTGATATTTAGTAAATTCAAATCTTCATATAGTTGTTTCGTATGGTATTTTTTTTTATCTTTTTTTAAGGCGATTCTAATTAGTGTATTTTGACTAGTTTGCAATAGAGGAGAGCATCATCACAAGATCCCCCCAGCCTATTATTCCATAAGAAATAATTGGTTTTATCAGTGCCTAGTAAATTACCCATAAATCTTTCTTATTTAAGATGTCTAGAAATTCTCTCATTGTGTAAATCATTTTTCTAGATTTTTTTTGTATTAAATTGGTCATTACATTTCATGTTTGAGCACATTTCTGCACTCAAATATTTATTATTATTCATAATGTTTATTTTTTTACATTGGAAATTTATACCATGAGTATTATATGTTTCATTGTGTAGTATAAAGTCTTTTATTTTTGGTAATGTATTTATTTACCACAAATGTAATAAAATAACAGTTTATTTGGAGTTTAAAAATAGGTTATTTTTAATAAGCCAGCGTTCTATTATTTTTAAACACCTTTTCCCACGTATTTTCTAAAAAAATTAAAATGGTGTTATCAGCATAGCAAACTAAAGTAGTTTTTAAGTTTTTAATGTCATTTAGCTGTATATTGTATACTGAATAGTATAGGTGAGATTGTCATTCCTTGCGGTACCCCACATTTAATCTTCATTTCATCACTGTATGTTTTGTTAATTTTAACTAATTGTTTGCTACACTAAGGTATGATGAGAATCATTCTTAAGTGGATCCAGTTATCTTGATGTTTTTCATTTTATTCAATAAAATATCGTGGTTGATTGTAACAAAAGTTTTAGCCATGTCAAGGTAAATAGATGCACATTTTTTTTCTATAATGCATTGTAAATAGTATTTGTCGTTTTTGTTATTGTTTGATCCGTCCCTTTTTCCGATCTAAAACCAAAATTGGTTTTCAAATAATAATAATACAAATTCAACTAGCCTATTTTTAATAATTTTTCAAACACTTTTGCAACATTTAATATAATAGAGATTGGATGATAATTGTTTATTAAAATAAATTAACCTTTTTAATGGATATAGGTGACTATTGAAATTTTAAAAGCGTTAGGTATATTGTTACTGTTAAGGATAAATTATAAATATATTTTAAAGGGTGACAAAGAATTTTTTTATTTTTTTTTAATAATTCAACTGTTATTTTATCAGTTCCAGGTGCAGGCACATTCTTTAAATTAGAGATAGCTTTTAATATTTCATATTTAGTTATATCTATAAATTTATTAAGGAAAGGTCTTTTTAGGCATTATTTTTTTATCAGTTTTATTCAGATTTAAAATCTCTTTTTTGTGTTTTGTCCCATGATTATTTAATTTGCTGATTAATTCAGAGGCATAATTTATGTAGTATTCATTAAAACTATTAGCTATTAGTTTTGGGTTTTTGGTAACATTTGTTTCTATGCCACCTTTGGTGAGTATTTTATAGAATGTTTGTTGTTTTTTATTTTTACCGATTAGATCTCCGTTAATTTCCATTTTAATTTTTAATTTTTTTTTTGCTTTTTGCGGTTCGGTCCTATAGTAAGATCTTTTAGCGTCTCCAACTAATAATGCTATCAAATTTATGTATTTTAGATAATATTTTTAATATTGGTTGTTTTAAGGATGTTTTCTAACTTGTGAATGTAGACGATCCTGATATCTCATAGAATTTATTAGTGTTGTGGTTGCCCATGGTTTAATTTTTCTAGTTTTAGATGAAATCAGAATTTCTTTTGAAACTGATATTTGTACAGTATTTAAAATTTCAGTAAACATATTAGTGGCATTATTAACTTCCCTGCTTTGATAGACGTCTAACCAGTCCTGAGCTTTGATTAAGCGGGAAGTTTAGTTTCATCGGTTTTCATTAAAGGTATAATGGGCAATACATTTTTCATGAATTTCGTATTGATGAATACATGATCAATCAATACATGTGTTAGAATTTGGTCTAGTAGCATTTTTAATTAAAGGTATACAACCGTATTCCGTCATAAGTAATAGGTAATCGTTTTTGATTTTGGATAGTCTAAGTAAGTTAATATTCATATCACCAAGTATTATTTTGAAATTTGCCGCTTTTGATATCGTTAAATTTTTTAAAAAGCCTGGTCCGGCCCAAGGGCATTTTTTTAACCCCAATCCGATCCGGTCCATAAAATTCTGTGTAAAAAAGTCTAGACCCGACCCAAGAATATTTATTTTAAGCTCGGTAAAAATGTCCGTGTAAAAGAAGCCCAGTCTCAGTTCGAGGAAATTTTTTTTAAGCCCGGTCCGATCCAGTCCAAAATAATTTATGTTAAAAAGCTCAGTCCGGTCCTTAATAAAATTCCATGACTTAAATAAACCCGGTCCGATCCGATCGAAAAAAAAGTCTAGACCTGGCCCGGTTTTATGTTTCTAAGGCCTTGGCCCGATGCAATTTATTACGGGCCGGGCTTTTAGAGGACCGGGCCGGGCTGGTTCTTACAGGTCTTTAGTAGGTACCTACTTGACTAATAAAACTATATTTAAGATTATTTTATTTATACACAAATTGATTGCTCACCTATACCATACTTGTAATAGTTAGCCCCTCTGCCCCCAGAAATATTTCTGTGTGCACTACTGGTAGGTACCTATTCTCTAGGTTCTATTGTGACTCGATAATATAATGACACAAATAATTATTTCTGTACTTATTTATTTACAAAAAATATTTTATTAGGTACAGAACTATCTAATGTACGCGGAATGTTTAATAATAATTACGCGATCTATTTGTTTGACTAACCTAGATGTCGTAGATAATAACCGAGTACCCAATACATAATTATAATGTTTTGTTCAGTGTACATTGTAAAATATATTATCGGCAAGTAAATATTTACAGACTTTTTTTTTTTTTTGGTTAGATTATATATTGACTTCATTAGGTAGATTGGTATTTACTTGTTTGGATTGTTAACTGAAGTAGTTAGCCTAAAATCGGCAAGACGAAAGTCCGATGTATTGTAGTCACCGATACAGCGCCGTTTCGTGTGCCTAATACGATTTAGATAGAAAACAAAACCAGTCCAAGTAATACCTGTATAATCCTGAAATATTACACTAGACATCATGAATTCCAAATCAACATCACTGATGATATTCAATCGCCTTTTGTTACTTTCGTTTGTAAGTATACACCTTTATTAAACCTAACTCCTAAAAATCTATCACTCGATTTTGAGCGAATATTTATTCGGTGATAGAGATCTTTTATGCTACCTTCTCTTCTCCTTTGGTTTCTCCACCCATTGCTTTGCTAAATAAATTACTCTCCATTTTTCACTATTTTTTCCACTGCGTACTTGAATCGAATTTTTCCTCGATGTATTCAGGGAGAATGGAAGCGTTGTTTTTCCGTCTTTGTGCGGTACATAGGAATTTAGAGGTGTTGTCATTCTTTAGTTCATCGTAATGAGCTCAAAAAAGTGGGAAAGTCGATCTCAGGTGGACTTGACGACAGATTCAAATCAGTTTTCAGAATTCTTATTGTTTCTTTAGATCTCTCAGATCAATAAGTACGTTGCACAGCGGCCAGAAATGTAACTTAGGGCGGACATAATGGGCAAACAAAACGTAATTTACGGATTAAGTATTTAATATATGGTATTCTATCTACATAATGTATATGTTATATTATAAACATTAATAGCTTCCTGATATTTATATCAGCAATAACTACGTCAAAACCCAATATTTTATACAACTTACGTTAATCTTCTGTCCATTCTCATTAAATACTCACAAAAATATTAAAGTATACAGTATATTATAATTATTAGAATCTTTAATACTGATTAACGTAAAACCAGACGGGATTCTAGAAACAGACATAATTATAAATACTATTGGAAGAGGTTCTTGTAACACTAAGCAATTTATTAATTTTTTTAGATAATTTGGACTTGGGTATTTGTAAAATTAAAAACATTATATTTATTTTTGGAATTATTTAATTTTATTTGTATTCAAAAAATGTTTAAAATCGAATTGAATTGAAGTAACTTGTTTTATTTTTTTATGTCCAATTTAGTTAAGCCACAGCCATTTTTTTTTCATTTTGCTATAAGTCCCTTATAAAGTTATTTTGTTTAAAATAAAAATCGTAACACTAGTCACTTGTTTGTGCAGATTAGGTCAGTTTAAGGTTACCTAAAAACTTACCCACCCGGGCCTTAAGAGCCTCAGTTCGCCTTTGGACGCCATTGACTTGCGAGATTTTTTTTAGCATTTTTTTTTCTACACTTCTATACTCTAACATGGGTTAAGGTGTTTCAGTGTTCATGGTTTGAGTTCACTATATTGCAGCGTTAGGAAAATTCCTCTTTCGTTCTCGTTTCGCGTTAATACTGCAAAAAAGGAACTAGTTCTCGTTCCTCGTTCCTTAAAAAAAGAAACTCGTTCCTTTAAGCGTTCGTTTTTTTTTTTTATGAATACGCATATTTCATACCTATTTGTAAAAAAAGATACAGGGGATAGGAAGTTGAAAAGGTAGGCTAACTGACATTGGAAACTATTCTTACTTATAAGAATCCAAATGTTTAAAATCCCAAATCCTAATAAATTAAGTAAAATTAATTTCCTAGTTCCTACCCTAAAAAATGAAAAAACATATTACTCAAAAGGTTGATGCAAATTACTTGATAATTTGACGTTTATCATTATAAAATTAGTTATATAGTTATGATTTTAAACCATTATCACGAAGGTACCGTTTATATCACGGTTATATATAACTAAATTAGTAACTGACGAAGTGATATCAACACTAAAAAATTTCTAAATAATATTGTCACTAAAATAACATGCGTTTCATTTTTTTTTCCTAATAGAAGGAACGGAAATTTCACGTTCCCCATAAATAGGAACTCTTTCCCGTTCTTCGTTCCTATATTTGAAAAGGAACGCGTTCCTTCCCAACACTGCTACATTGTCCATGCCAGTTGCCCAAGTTCGTTCTACGGTTTTGCATATGTGTATCCACATTAGTATTCGCTCGTGAGGTGGTTAGATTATATTGTTATATTATTCGCGTGAATTACGGGTGTCTTGATTTTCATTTCTTTCATTCTTCATTATTGCTATTATCATAATACTGTATGATGATTATGTGAACAACAATAATGAAAAAATTCAACCTTTAAAATAATAATAATAATAATAATGCCAATGATTACGCGCAGGTTTACTCGTTGTCGATTGCCGCGAATGCGCCGGATTCTGATTTGCCGTTTGAGTTCAACTACGATAGAGGATCCACCGTTATCGATCACAACGTATTGACCAAGGCGGTGTCCAGCGACGGCCAAACCGTGTTTAAAACGAATAGCCCGCAGCCGATAAAGAAATATCAACAGACGAGTATCAATAACGGAAAAACGTCGCCGACTAATCGCGAAGAAACACAACAAAAACAACAACAGCAACAGCAACAGCAACAGCAGCAACAACAACAACAACAACAAAAACAACAACAACAACAACAACAACAACAACAACAACAACAAAAACGACCGCAAGAAACACAAGACAACAATAATAATAATTTCGCGTACTCGTACCACTACAGTACTCCGGGCGCGGCGAATACCGTTAGTACGTTGGGTAATCCTGCAATGAACCAGTGGAGTATTTTCGACAATCTGAGCAGGTATGTATACGGACGAATTAAATATATACTCGCGAAATATTTGTGATAAATCACGGAGAATATATTTTTGAAAAATTCCCTTTTTAATTTGTTGCGTGTTAGTTATTATAAGAACTCGGAAGTTATAGGAGTTGCATATATTTCTGTATGTACTGGATTTATAGCAGATCAAGCTGGAAATTCTTTCCATACAATAGGGAGTTTAATAATCGTGCATATTTTACATATTTCGTTAGTTTTAGAAAAAAAGTGCATATTTCAACGACTATTATGCATATTAGGCATATTTAATATTTGCTAAAAAAATATATATTTTTTTTCTTAACCAATGTGTTTTAAATAATATTGAATAAAAAACTCAATATTATTTAACGTAGTTATTTATTGTTATTTATTATCGTCTCAGTCTATTATTAATTTAACGACAATGGTGCGATTCGCATTTAATCTTTTTTATGCATATTAATAATGATATTATATTGTTTTTGAATAATAAACTTTGAATAATTTTTTGCTCATTATTTATTACATTTTTTTCATGCATATTTTACAATTTTTTCGTGCGTATTTTGCCTTTTTTTAGCTCCTATAACTCCCACGCCCTAATTATTGTATAAAATATAATTCATGATATAACACAAAACACCTACTTTGTTCACACCGGGTACTGTCAAATTTGTCCATCCAACTTGTAGACATAAGCGGAGGAAACTATTATAGAGTACCGCGGGCATTTGAAAGACTAGAACTTTACTGATTTTTTTTTATATAAAACAACAAACGCGTCAAATACGTTTGTTTGTATAAATAGGAATTAAAATCATGCAGAATAATTCAGTAGCGGTATTATAATTTCGAATTTTATATGAACGCCAATATCAAATCTTTTTTTAACGGAATTGTCGAAAAATGAATAAAAAAGAAAAACGTTCAAAATCACATTAAAATAAATTTAAAAATACTTAGTCCCTTGATGGCATGGGTATCTTCTGCATGACCGTAACACGTTTGGGCATATAAACGCATAACTTGTGTAGGCACCTCAGTGATGTATACAAATGTTAGATATCCGTCTTTGAAATGCATGATTTATGATATATCAACTCAATAAAGATGTTGTAAAACATTTATCACTAATTGGTCCAAGAAAAATTGGTAAAAATATGAAATAATCGTATCAAAATGAAAGTAAATAATATGCAAAATATAAACACGATGTACCAAGATAAATAATAATTTTAAAACAACGACTAGTAATTAAACGTTACTAAAATATTTTTGGGAAACTAACATGAGTCAATTTCCATGTTCAGGTGTCTCTTAGCTGGAACGCTAATGGGCTCTCAAAAATTTAAAATTAGTAAACAAAATAATTGCACCGACAATAATACCGACAAAGTATTAATGTTTTATTTTTGTCGGTGTGTCCAAACGTTATGTAAATTTGTACCTAAACGTGTTATTTTACTAGAGATATAGTGTACCCAAAGGGCGTATTAATTTATACCCAAACGTGTTGCATTTAAGGTTTATTAAATACCCAAACGTGCTGCGACCCACAATACTGTGTGTAATGTAGAATCATGCAATTTGTATAAAAACGTGTTTACGTGGCAAAACAGAAAAAAAGTACTAACCTTTCAAAGTGATATTAAAATTTTTACTCGCCGTGATAATTAATGACAACAACATTGTCTGTACCTGGGTTTAACACATTAATATTTATAATCCAAACGTTATATATATTGTGGATAGTACCTTTTTTTCACAATTAAAAACCGCTCTAACTTTTTCAATAAAACTAAACTGACACGAGTAAATTCCGTTTTCATTAAAATATCACTAGAATTTTGTGTTTTTGTTTGTTTTTAAATTTCGAAATAAATAAACAATTTTTTGGACACGATAATTGTCACGGGCATAGAGTTCCGCAGGAATTTCTCTAGGGAGGAGGCAAAGATAACATTAAAAAAAAGAGGTGATACTGCTGATCGATATGCCACTGTTGTGGGGGAGAAGTTGGGAATGTAGGATTCTAAATGCAACAAAACAGATCTCCTGTATCTGTGTTGGAGTATTATTTCCGGTAAAAAACATAAACCGTAACAATTTCGAACAATAAAATCGATAACGTCCCGGTGTGCCTGGTATACATCGATTATCTATTTATATATTATCTGATTTATTGATGAATTAAAAAAAAAACTGGGGGTGGATTTGTCCTGTATCGCCCGTTTACCACCATTATTCGGGACGACCGTGAGAGCTCTTTTTAGGTCCGCGACCGCTCGCACTAGTCGCACTTATTACGATTTAACTTAAATTTTTAAATTTTGTATTTTTACTGACGTTGTTATATTGTCTGTACCCAGTGTAATTATTTTATACTTTCAGATATTTCCCGGGAATGAGATTCATGTATATCTGAAAACTCGCAACTACAGTACGGTTACCGGCTAACGGACCGAGTTTGATTATTATCATTAAGCGACTCTCGCGGTTTTCTCGCACATCAAATCACATTTCAATACAATGTTTACATTATGTACAATTACGTACAACGGATATTTAACGACGAAGACAATATTGTTTTTATTGTATTATAAAATATGTATGCAATATATTTACAAACGCACGCGTATTTATTCTAATTCCGTGTGATATAATTACGATGTACAATGTATTCAACGATTATCGCCGACTATAATATTATAATATGCAATTTTGTACAAGTATCGCAGTGCCATTGTAAATTTGCACACGACACATTGACATAATTTATATTATAATTTGTTTTACAATAATAATTATGTACGGTTTTGATTAATATTATAATGTTAATATTGTTCGCGGCATAATAATACAAAATAATATATAAACATATAAATATATATATATATATATATATATATATATAGTGTCGGTATATACACGTTTATTTTACATCATGATGTAAAAAAAAAAAATTAATGTTAAATATTATTAAAAAAAAAAAAATAATAAAAAATATAAACCATGATGATAGCACGTTTCGATATAAAGTATTTAATAATATTATTTATACATAAAAATGACGATAGAAAAAAAAAAAAACACATACGTATCTATAAATGTTTTTTGTTTGTTCGTTAATACCTAACAGTACGCATGCGTATATAGTCATACACAAATAATACGCGAAATACATTATAATTTATATAATAAATAAAATCAATGCTAAAAAAAAAAAAAATTAATAATAATAATTTATCGTATCGAAACGAGAAGTAATACACATAATACATATATTATGCTGTATATGCGAATAAATATGTATATATATATATATGTACGAATAATTTATTACACGACGTTACGTTTAAAATCTTAAATTATTATAGTTTGTTGATGGGAAAGGGGGAAGGAGGTGGCTGGAAACGGCGGGAAAACATTTCACCGTTTTCACGTCATTACTTTGTCGATCCACGGCACGAAACGCTGCACGTTCGTGTACACGCCGGGCAAGTGTTCGCGGCCGCATCCGATTCCCCACGACACCAATCCGATCAGCGTTTTCCGTCCGTCCAAAATCGTAGTCAATGGTCCGCCCGAGTCACCCTGTATACGTATTTAAAATAATATTATCAGCGTCAATGTCAGCGAACGTACCACCGGCGTTGCGTGTGTGCCGCGGTATACCTATTATTATACGATGTTATTGTATTATAGTTTCGAGCGGTTTTCATGCGGACGAATAGCACAAAATCAAATATCGTTCCAGCGAATTTATCAATAACCATATTTGGGCAGAATTTATACACGGACATCTAATATCCCGCGTGTCTAAATTCAGCAGATTGGTCAGCTGCTAGATTTAACTGTTTCTGAACTGAGCTGCTGACCAATCCGTTGGAGGGGAAGTGATCAATCGGATTGTTTTATCAGCAATCTGATACGTTGTGAATGGAATAGTGTTTTATGGACGTTATAAACACTTTACGCGCCAAAATTAAAACTAGTTCACTAACTTATATTTGATAGAAAAAAAAAAAAAATGTATATTTTGTTAACATTTGTTATGCGCTAAAGTGTTTCCAAATTCCAATTCCAACACTCGACATGTATAATATAATGGAAATACGGTTTTTGTATTCTGGAAATACTTTTATAAAACATTTAGATGCTTACTCGATTTTCGTAGCATTTAATCTTAGTATGTTTACCTATAATATATATTTACTGTTACTTTTAATCAAATGTTTTATACTTATAGATTTCGAAATCTCGATGAAAATAATGATAAGAATAAAATATTGGTGATGATGGCCTATGGGTAACTTTAAATAACGGTATTAACCAATATGTTTCAATTGGATAACAAAAATAGTGTTCCTCTACAACTCTATAAACCTGCTGAGCAATCCGCTGGATTAGCAAATTGGTTCAGGAATCCACGGAATATATGTTTAACACGTCGGTTAGGTTAGGAGCCTATAACAAAATATATCGTTTTGGACATGTAATGTCGCGGTAAAAGCTCTGAAAGAGTTCTATAAATGCCGGAGACCAAGAAGAATATACATATCATGCCATTACACGTCTAATTTAATTTTCCTTTCCTGAATTACAGGACTCAAAAGTCTCAAGGCGAGCTTTAACGCAAATTTGAATGGTTAAAAATGTTTCTTGAAAATAATATTTACAATATTATATTATAAAATCTTTTCTTTTTTCTTTTGCGTAGGTACCTATCCATGATTTATTTATAATTATTATTATCGCTGTTAAAAAAATTATAAAATATGCTATGTACTATTGTATCGAACAGTATTATCCTTGACAACCTACGGATACTGTTAGGCAGCTCGTCGGTTCTTTTCATTAAAATAAAGTTGCGTCTCTTCTTGTATCAAATATAGGTTGGTGTTTTTCTTATATATTATAAGATTGTAAGGCTAAAATTTAATAAAATTATGGCAACCATAGTTATATTTTAGATTGATTATGTAAAAATAAAATAATTTAATATTTTAACCGTAACAAGAAGAGTTTGGGAAAAATTCACCACGAGTGATGGAACTAGTTAATTTTATTATTTGATGGTTTTCCTAAGATTTCAAAAGATAGTTTATAATATTATAATATTACTTGACGTTTTGTGCAATTCACTTCCCGTGCAACACGTTTGCATGGTATATACTCATTTTGTAAACGCAAAATAATAATTTTTCGCCCAAACGATGTATGCTTTAATTAGATAAATGTTGGGTCATTCGTCCAAATGAATGACGTCTGTCGCGAAACGTTAATTATTTATGAAATGCAGCTGCAGTTGAATACACAATATAACACTTAATCAATCTAACACAATCCGTCTAAATTTATTTTATTTCATTTATTTTAATTATGTGTACTTTTATGGGTTTAGGCAGATAGGTATTATAGGTACGAAATAACACGCAAGTACTAATATATTATGTGTACGGTTTTACGGTTTGTTTTAAGCAAATATTTATGCAACTCAAAGGCGGAAACAGGCTATAATAAATATGCCACGTCACGTGAGCCCACGTGCTATCACGTTTATACACTTGAACTGTGATATCACGCCCAGAAATAAACAATAGTCACATTATTATGTTGTCATGCTTTATCACATCACAATTACCCAGAAGCTAGTAGTTGATTTATGTACGAACATGCGCGATTTATTTATAAAATACAATTTAAAATGAAAATAGTGATTTCAAGTAGTTCATTAGAGTGGGAAGATCAACTGGAAACTGCAGCTATTTTTGTAGTTTTTGACAAACAAAATAAAAATCTACGTGGTTAATATGTATGTATGTGAAATCAATAAAAAAAAGGTAAAAATTGGGTGAATTTTAAAGCACAGAGCATGAATTTCGAAACGATCTAAGAAGATTTTATACATAAGCATCATAGGTAGAGATTCGATTGAATTTTAGTGATAAGCAAAAAAAAGATATCCTAGGATAATGGAGACGGGATCCGGTGCAGTGGCTGATAGGTAATTTCATGTATACCTGTAGCAACGATAACCATCGCTAACGAAAAAACCGATTCAGAGAGGAGTTCAGTTGATGGTGATGCTTTGTCATATTATGGTAAAATAATTAAGTAAGCATTATATATTTTTTTTAATAATATTTGTTTAATGTACCAATTTTCCTGTTTTTTCTACGTTTTTCTCATGTTTTTTCACGAACTTATCGAAGACTCAAACGATTAGAAAATATTTTATTTGTGGAGAAATGTATAGGTGCGTAGTGAATTGACAAGAGACAGTAGAGAATCGCTGTATATACGAGTAGAAGACTCGATTTGGGTATGCTATTCAAATTCGTACCTCGATTTTAGGAGTATCTCGCATAGATACCATTAGGTATAGGTATATTTATTTGTCATAGGCTATAGTATAGGCCATCATAGGTTATTTATTAGCTACACGACCATCAAAACGTATTGTTTTAGATTGATAGCGAGTGTTATGAAATTGAAAATCGCTTTGTCGAATAACGCTTAGATGTGTGTGTAAATAATTTCACAAACCTGACAACTGTCTCGACCGCCTTCTTTATAGCCGGCGCATAGGAACACGTCGTGAATAGTTTCGCGACGACCAGCCGCCCGGAACCATCTTTGGCATCTCTCGTTTGGTATGACTTCGACTTGGACTTCTTGTAAAACTGTAGGAACTGTTGCGACTCCTGTGTGATTATTCAACGGCGAGTATACATAATTATTATAACATGCGTGTAGAATTAAAAGACGGGGGAAAAAAATAAATACTAACCGTGTCGGGTACGGCCCCAACCGGCTACAGTCGCGGTTTTGCCAATTAATTTGGCCGTTGCGCTCGGCAAACACACGGGAATAATGTGCTGTTTGTATGCCACGTCGTGGTCGATTTTAACCAAAGCGACGTCGTTACGGAAATCTGTAGGACTGTATTGCGGATGTACCTATATGTGATTAGCAATTTATTAAAACGTGATGAATTTGTCAGTAATTTGTTAAAATATATATAATAGACAGGCACTGCAAAATATGGGCATGGGATGCTATAGATAATTGTGGGTCAAATTTCACCGTCAATCTAGGAAAATTATAATAATATTAAAAACATTTAAACAGGCTGGCATATTTCGTGCCGTGGGCGGGCCACCGTTGTAAGTCAGGAATGTAAGACATACACGATAATTTAATGTTTATCTCTGTACGCAATGAAAAGTCAGTGGAAACGAAAACGACCGAAGCGAGATCGGTGCAACTTGTTTTGACAAATTTAAATTTAAATTACTATATGTATTTTATATTTGTACGAAAAGAACTACTGGTAGTTACCATTATTTGTGTTTTTAACGAATTTTAACGTGAAATGTTGATAAAAATGAATTGCGAAATTTATTGTCCACATAAAAAGAAAAAGAAAAATCTTGAAACTCGATAATTTCAAAAAGTGTTGGAATATTTTGATAATAATAGCAAGTCTAGAAAGTGTTGATATATTAAATAATGCAAAACATACAATCAATGATGATGATATTATAATAAATTGTTGTAAACAAATTATTTACAATCTATTTATTTATTAATAGATCTACTAAGGGAGATCGTATAATAGAAATGATTGGATGGGATTGAGAATGGTATGACTGATATAATGATAATATAGCCGGCGTAGGAGAAGTGGGACTGGTGGATCGGGTCAAGTGAAAGTTTAGGACGAAGGCGGCCGAGCCCAAATAATTGAAATGAAGGTGAAAGAGAGCAAAAAGAAAACTTATTTAAGTATTATATTATCAGAGAATTATGATTTCCTTATCAAAAATTAATATTAATTTTAAGTTAAACGATTTAGACGATTTCATTCCGATTGATGCAAATAGATTAAACGCCATGGGTTGCTGTAACATTCTAGCTCCCCAACCAGTTCTAAATAAAAAGGTTGACCACTTACGAAATACGAGTAAGTACCTATCAATACTTTTTCAGACATTTTCGAAAAGAAATTACCTGACGTTATAGATATATTTTTTTAATCTTTTGATACTAGCGTATATACTACAAGTATAAATATTGTATTCAAGAAATACTGTTTTAAAGATTTCAGTATTATTTATCTTTAACGATTTACCAAAAATATACTATTATTTTTGTTTTAAGGTGTTTTGGAAATACCATAATAAAACAAATAGTATACTTGTTCGAATAAATTATATAATATATTATAATTGGTATTCATTATTTTTGTTAGTAGTATCAAAAATAATATCAAAAAAAAAAAAAAAAATAATAATATGTATTGCACCTCATAACTTACATATTTTTTTTCGTCAATATCTTATTATCAACACTGAACTATGGCAATTAAACAAAATAATAACAGCTGGTTATATCCGTAGGTAATAAAGGAATACATTTTTTGTAAAAAAAAAAAACTGATACTGGAAATAGGAGCGGCCACTGTTGTAGGTGAGAAGTTGAGAAGGTAGGATACATAAGGTTATTTAATTTATATCTGTAAGCAACGATAAACAATTGTTTGACGAAAGATGATTCGAAATACAGTCCGGTAATACACAATTTGAAGTACCATAATATTTTTTTGCAATTTTCGTTTAAATTTGATTTCAAAACGCTTATTAAAAAAAAAAATTAGTCCAATTATTTTAGAAATTTTACCACGTTTAGGTAAGTCCAATATAAGTATTATTACTAAGTTTCTAATCTCTACGTGTATTTATAACCAAATTATAGCAAAAAAGCTCCCAATAATTAAAATTCTTTTAAATCTTAAAAGTGGCTCAAAAGTTTCGGCAATAATAATGTAAGAAAGTGAATCAAAAAGGCAACAAAAGTGTTTTGTGATTTTTGATTAAATCATTTTTTTTTTGTAAAAAACATCGTCCTTTTTTTTTAAAAAATAATGAAATCGTGAAATTGTAAGTTTTCCTACGTTTTTTCTCATTTAAGAGTTTTTATTATAAAATTAACGTATAATCTAGACAACTTGAGCTTTTAAAAAAGTTGCTAAACGTAAAAATCGGAGCAAGTTTTTCTAGGAAAAAACATGTCCAAAGATTAGAACAAAGAAGAAATAAACTACATTTTAGAACCAATAGCTCTTTCGCAACACTCGGAATCTAAAAATAGAATGGTAAAAAAAGAAAAGTATCAAGCCTAAAATCATCACAATCATTTAAGAAAAAAACAGAGAAAATAATTTTGAAAATCGGTCTAGTAAATTTTATGTTAATCCCAAATAACGAAAAACACTCAGTTACTTTATAAATATAGAATAGTAATATGTTGGGTTTTAACCTAACCTAATTAAACACAAGTATGATATGTTTCTTTTTTAATTAGTGAACAACTTTTCAATCAGAAATAATGTTCCAATCAGAAACTTCAAGGGAGGTTTTTCTATAGGAAATGTTGTCTATTTTATAAATTGTAGACGCTATCTTTTGATTTAATTCGTAGTATTTTTTTGATATTTGGGAAAGAATCATCTAAAACGGGAATATTTCACAAGTTCTGATTTTTGATTTTTTTTTTTTTTTTGTGTAATTTAGTGAAAATAAATGTAGAAGCCTCATATTTTTAAAAAAAAAAAAAATCAAAAAATGACCTTTCTAAAGTACCATCTAGACAATTTGAGTTTTCAGTAAAGTTACTACACGTGAAAATCGGAACAAATATACTACGAAGAAATATGTCCACAGACTAGAACAAAGAACAAAGAAAAAAAAAAATATCTTAGTAAAACCAATAGCTTCCTCGTTACGCTCGGTATCTAAAATATGCAATTTTCGTATTTTAAGGACAATAAAAGTTTGAAGTGACCCTTTGTGGTGTCAAATTTCAAAAAGTTTCTTTGTATAGCGCTTGCCTAAATAATATAAAGAACATATTGTGTGCAACATTTTGAATTTCTATAGACCCAGTCGTGGGACGACCATAGGCGCAACTCGGGGAATGTTAGAGGTTCTTTAGCACCCTTAAAAATACTGTATAAGTTGTTTTATAGTATAGAATTTAAATATTTTATTCTTGTATTTCATAATTAATAAGTAGAACAAAACACAAATTATACCTATACATACAATGCATGTGTGTATAAAAAATAAAATTAAACAACTTATAATACGATTTTATACAAAAAATTGTAAATAAAATGTGTAGTTACTTATTATAATTATCATGTGGGGTATTGTCTCTACGGGTCTGTGATGTATCTATAATTTTAGCATCTCCAAGGTTGGTGCAGGTCTAGTTGCGACTTTATAGGGACGACGAATCAGTCAGTAGGGAAATGTTATATTTTTATAATCTAGATAGATTCTCGGTATCATTTTATAGGTACATCTATTTTGAAGACATTTCCCCGAACTATGCAAAATTATCGTAATATTAATCGGACAATAATTATATGATGATTGCTTACTTCTTTGCGTTCCACGTTGAATTCTTCGTGCGCATATTTTTCCGATTGATCTCGGACGTCCCATTCACCGAGACGCACTTTTAAATTATTATTTGACGTGCTGAAAACGAATACGGAATAAATAAAAAATGTTTGGGTAAAATATTACGTACTGTATAAAATACGTAATATTTCTATATCAAACACCGAGATAACCGATGGTTCTCGGGTGTAGGGTTTTAAAATAATTTAATAAATAGAACACCTGCTTATTTGATTGGTTTACTCGCGGTGTGTAGGCAAACATGAATATTTACATTAAATTTTTAATTCGGAAATTCGGTTAGTTCCTTTTAATAGCAGTTGGGCATTAGTGGGGGAAGGCTTATGATAAGTTTGTGGTTTAGATCGGTTTGTAACTGGATACTGCATGCGGGGGGATCTTACTGTGCCGCGTTAACGAATTCATTACAGACAGTTGCACATCGTCGACATTTCTAAAATGTATTGATTTTTTTTGGTTTTTGTTACCGACTGTATCGAGACTAAATGCGATTCGGTAAACGACACTGTAATTGACGCAGTTTGTTTTTACAAAAAGGTATACAATAACATCGACGAGTCGACGTAAGTACGAGATCTTATCCGAATTATATGTCTGGGAGTAGGAGTATAACGATAGCGTAGGTATTACTATTGTACTCCTATTCTCAAAACTTGTAACATACAATTCCGAAGATCATGTATAGAAAACCTGAAACAGCTCGATGTAATATTATTATCATCTCGTTTTCTGAGCTTCTACGTTTATATCTACTCTTGTTAATATACCGTCAACACTCTAAAATCACTTATATCCCATACACTTTTTCTAAGAAATAATTTCGTTTATTATTATTATAGTGCAGGGTTCTCTTTTTACACGTTTTACGGATTGTATTCTACTCATATTGCTTTTTCTATTGTATTGTTTTACACGCGTATTGTTAAAAATCTAAACACACGTAATAATAACCGTTGTCGAACGGCCGAGTCGTGGTCGTCTCGTTGATGCTATATTATACAGTACGTCATGTCGATAACCTCGTTAAAACCCCCATGAGAATTTATGTCGTCTGAACACAGAGCCACCTATAATACGTACATAGAATGATGACGTGATGCGCTCTCCGCCATAAAAATATATAGTTTTGACAATTTTATCGACCGGAATAAGTCTAGAAAGAAAATCACCCGTATTTATGTGTCACGGGCAATGTAAACCGAAAATGTATTTCAACGTGAAATGTGTGAATCATTATAATTAAAGACCGGTTTTATATTCTCTTATAGTCGATAAAAAGGTATTTTAAAACATCAACAGATCTCCGAAAAAAACATTGACAAACATTAAAAAAATCAAAAATGATAAAAGAACCTAAAAATCTCCCCCACTTTTGTCTCTAACCCATTAAATTTTCTAACACTACAAAATTGATTCATACAAAATAATTTCTTTTAAATAAAATCGTATGTATTATAAAAAAAAAATTACTTTTTATTTATCATTTATGTGGTATTCGAAAATTGTATTTATTAATTAAATCTGTTAGAGGGGGGGGGGGACTATTAAACCTATTATTTTTCCTTTTTTATATATTTTTTAAGTAATTTTTTTTCAAGACTTTTTGACGATTTCAAGTGCTTTCCTGTGGGTTTTAAAAACGTATAAATCCGGTCTTTAATTATAATTATATGTTGTTTAAAAAAGATTAATTAATTATTAATCACGCTAGTTTTTTTATATTGCACGTGCTGTATGCATACTTTAGATTAATATATTAACTTATAATACTTATATTATTAGTTTTCTATATTTAACTGGAAAATGTAATAAATTGTCGATCAACACGCATCTGCACGAAAGATGGTGAATTTTCCAGTTGAGTACGGTTACATACTTTTCATCATGACGCAATATCGTAAAATTTGTTGGCTTATATGTTATGTCAATCGAACGGGTACTTTTTTTTTGCTATTATATAGAAATTTAATTTTTTTTTGATAATTCGAATAAAATAAGTGGAAACAATTTAAGAGCGTTTTTATAATTAAATTATTGTTGACAAATAATAATTTTAATACGTTGTCCTTTTAAATAATTTAATAATTCACATACAAAAAAAAAAAAAATCCGTACCTATAAATAATAATCTGTTAAACGTATTATATATTCACACGCATTTCACGTCAAAATAAATTGTACGGTTCACTTTGCCCGGACAGGACCACATTGCCCGTACGCAAAAAACTAGTTAAATCAACTTCGTTTATAGCTACAAATAAATTATTGTAAATCATAATTATGTATTAAAACAACCATTATAATAGTTACAATAACTTATTAGTTGACATTTTATATTATCGTTTCAACTATATAAAAAAATAACAAAATAACAATAACCTCTACTAAATAATGTAGTCGAAGACTTGAAGTTGCAGTAAATGTGTATTTATTCTAACTTTATTATTATAGTTGAAGCTACATAAAATGTACGGTAAATTTAACTAGCTGGTGAAACTAGAGACGTAATTACGGACGGAAATATGGGTGTTATACCCCCCCCCCCACGAGCTTTATTTTTCTTTAACGACTGGCACACATTATTTAACACTGAATTGAAATTGTTTTTGGGTTATTACCCTTCCCCTCCCAACATGATCACCACTGGTTGAAACTACATAAATTATATATTGCTATTTGAGTCGCGACATACTACATTACCCGTAATATATGTGCAAATAATAGTACCTAAAATAACGATTGCATCCAATCACGTAGCCATTGGGGAGTAAATCCGGGACCCCTCCGAAAGTTGTTCATCGACGTAAATTTTTTTAAACTTGGTATGCTGTTTTGATAATTTGTAAATTTTGAAAACACCTACCCTCCCAAAAAAAAAAAATGAAATCCTGGTTACGTGCCTGATCACGTCGACCGATTTATATGTCTGTGGTTTACTTTGGCATCTATACAGAGCGTACCTGAAGCGTTTGACAGTAATAATAGCTGAACAATATGTAATTGCATAATATAACGGGAATGGTTAAATCCCGCAGATACCACTTGCAACTGCGATTATAATTTAAATGGTTTTGAATTGACGAGAGTTTTTCACAATAAAGATTTAGGTATCTATTTATTTTGACTCTTTATCATTTAATAGTTATTATGGTCATATTCTAAATAAAACGTCTTCAATGTTAAAGTTTATAAATGGAACTTCCTCTGATCTCAAAAATTCAAAAGCAATAAAATCTCTCTAATGCTCCTTATTTGTTTGGTTGGTACTTGTGCAAAACTCTATAATATGGTCTCCATACACATCGGGCCCAGACACATTATTTAACACTGAATTGAAATTGTTTTTGGGTTATCACCCTTCCCCTCCCAACATGATCACCACTGGTTGAAACAACATAAATTATACACCGTTTATGTATAGTGGTATTTGCTCGGCAACATCTATAATTGAAGACCTATCAACGAGATCGTTGTTCTATGTTATAATATTTTCAAAAACCGTTTATTTTACGTAAATTGATAAAAACTCAGTGTTGTTGAGGTACTTATTTTATGCATTTAAGGGGACGTTATACCCGCATCTATTACCTCTGTCCAACTATCAGGTAACATGCAAAAACAATGCTTACGCAGAATATGTAAAACTAGTTAGCTTAATTTTGATTTTAGAGTATAAAAGTACCTGCTTCAAAATTAATGGAGAACATCATTTTTCGGAGGTAATGTCATATGGTTTTTGTGGTATTCAAAATATACGGTTCGATATAACAGACACAAAAACTTTTTTTTTTTTAATAGTTCATAATTCAAAAAAACACCTATGATATTCCCTCTAAAATAATGTCTCTATACGTTTTTTTATAGGTGTACTTTTACTCTAAAATAAAAATTAAGCTAGTTTTACGTATTCTGCGTAAGCATTGTTTTTGCATGTTATCTGGTAGTTGGGACTGAGATAGTAGATGTGGGTATAACGTCCTCTTAATGTACTCGTATTAAGTACTCCGAAAATTGACAATATTAGGTATTAACATGCACACACATCGATCTCAATGAACTCTATATTCAGTTTCCCACTTTCCTGAATATTTATTCACTGATCTCTTTGGCCAATCGATTTCGATTAATAATAATCAAACAATTTATATATTCTATTATTTAGGAACATTGTACTCACGTGGCTACGCAATGCGCTGCTGTCACTACCCATCGGTTGTTCAATAGAGCGCCGCCGCACGATAATTTTTTCGACAGAAATCCCGACTTGATGATGGCGGCCTTTATTATTATTTTTTTTTGTTTTTTGAAAAGGATATTATATTACTTTTTTTAATGTTGCGCAGGCGTTATAAAAAAAGCTTACGACATCGAGCGAAAAATAATAATTATTCGTACTCGATATAGTATTGTATATTATATAGTGTTATATTTTACCTGCCACGGGTGTGTACCAAAGTTCGATCCGTGTCCGCCAACGATTCTATGACTTCGCGCGTACAATTCTCCGCAACCTGTATCGTACATGTATCAAAATTAGACATTATATAATTTTATTTTAATTTTTTTTTTCTTTTTTTTTCTAAAGGCGAATAAATCCAATTTAATATTCGAATATTATATTGTGAAGTGTATAATATTGTTACTATATAGGTATGTAAATATTCTATTTGTAAGTAAGATGACTTTATAATGTCGTCGGAATTTAACAGATTTTCGATCGTAAAATTATTAGATCTTAATATAGATTATTTTAAAAAAAAATCGCGTATAGAATTAATGAAACTATACACAGAATATAGGCATCGAATAAAACTATTTTTTCTTTTTGTTCAAAAAAAAAAAAAAAAATTCTTCGTTTTTGAAGGGACAGGGATTTAATATTTACAATAAATTTCCTGAAAAGTTAATATTTCAAAACTAGAAAATAATAAGAAAAAGGAAATATTAAACAACCATTAATAATATTATAAATAACATAATATATATGTATAGTTAATAATACGAAGGTGACATTACAATATCAATGATCGCGATTCCATGCTACATAAAATATCGATACTGTTCAGTTTATTAAATATATACAATCAATAACATTAAAAAATATTATTTATGAATCGAATTGAAGTGTTTTGGTTGTAATAGCTTATAAAATATAATAGTTTATACAGGATGTACATGACTATTTGACATTTTTACATTGTAGTTACATGTGAAAATGTCAAATAGTCCAGTTACACCCTGTGTAAATAAATATACTTTCTACAACCGTATTCGTATAGTTTTGTTTTTTTCATATACAAATTCGAAATATTTATAAAGATGCGATGGGATTCATTTTGTACAGCGCGTGAGTTTTTGGTGTAAACAATTCGTGTATGTAGGAATCACAAGAGTTTAATAGTAAAGGTACCTAATTAATTCATTTTTACATGTAATAATCCCTGTATACATTAATAAAAAAAAATTTTAAATATATTTTAAACAATAGGTATAGTAGTATATCAATTTGGTATTTTTGTTTCCTCGTTAGGCGATATTTTTGTAAAAAACGCTCAGAAATTGAGTAGGTACGATATTTTCGATTCGTATATCAGTCCAGTCCTCGCCCCCTCATTTAAATACGTATGTTGTAAACGTTGTATTTAAATTTTAACTTTCCGATATTTTGTACCTTCTGGATACCCGAACGTGTAAATACACGGAAAATATCACGGCGCATTTACCGAGACTTTGTGACTTTTTAACAATTCGATTTAATCGAAACATCACAGTCGCGTTCGTCGCACGTTGTAGGTAGCGTGTAACCGGACAAAATAATATTTATATTTAAAGGAAAGGTGAAATTTATTTTGTCAGTCGTGTTTCGCACGCTAAATTTCGAATTGATCACATTTCAACGCCGTCTCCTCATACGTTACCAAATACGTAGACAGATTTTATTTTTTTTGGGGAGGGAAGATATCCAAACATAAAATTTATCACTGACTACCAATAAGTGTCTGGGGTGGGGGAGAGGGGAAGAAACAAAATTAAAACATAATGGGTAGAAAACCAAAGTACCATCCGATTCTTTTGGCGAGAAGCTTAAATTTCGGGAAAGGGGACGGGGTCTAGATCCCACGGACCCTTCCTCCTCCCGGCTATGCGTCTGTACGTTAACGGAGCTTTTTAAAAACGCTTATTGTAATAATTCGCTCGAAACAAATTGTTAAGAAGTTGAAAAGTATACGTACACGACGGTAGGTCTATAAAATTATATTCTACATGTCCGAAAATTGAACGTATCATAATATGGTCGTTATGTTTTGAAAAAAAAACGGTTAATGAAGTATTGCGAACGATTTTATGTTTTACTACGAAGTATTTTCTTAAAAATAATACAGTTTTTAACCATCCATTAATAAAACACACGTTTTACGAAAATAATCAATATCTACAGTACGTATCAATAAGATTTTCGTAACCTAATAACTAATTTTGTTAACAGGCGCCTATTAGAAATTATAGTTATTATTTTTTTTTAACTCAGTATGATTCTATACACCAGTGGTAACCACTAACCAACGGTGTATTTTTTATCATTTATGTACAAAAAAATTAAAAACTATAAGAATAAAAAAAATTATTTAAGTTTTAATTAATCATACGGTGGAGAAATTAAGCAATTTGAACTTTTTTTTTCATTCTGTACCTATAATATGTAAATTAAATATTTAATTGGATACCACGCCCATGTTTATTGTTTCCGTCTTGCGACATTGCGAATTTGCGTTTAGTAGGACAAATTTTGTACCGTTAGTTTTAATATTAAAGCGAACCGATATAATACGAAACTCAAAAGTGAAATAATTATCTGCGCCCTAGCGTTCGTGTTTTTTCGATATTTCAGTTTTTAAGCGAGGTATGAGTATGTGAATTAATATCGAAACTAAAAAACGATTATATATCGCGTAAAAATTACAATATCGGAAAAACGTCAACGTTGGAGCACAGATAATATTCTTACCTTTAAGTTTGGTAATAGGTCAACTCGTTTTAATATTAAAACCGACAGCATAGAATTTGTCCTACGCAAATGTACCACGTCGCGTGATGTGACGTCCTCTTGTAATAGGAACCGTACAATTTTTGCTATCTTATACTTATGGTAAAACATCAAATTAAATAATATTATGTCAGTTTGCTATGTATTCAAAATTAAAATTATAAACGTAGATTCGTCGTTTTCAGTATTTTATAATCTTTAAACATTCTAACACGGGAATTTAGCCGGTGAAAGAGATGTGACGTGGATCTTCCGGAAGTCGGGACCGATGGATGTTTCATACTATAACTATAAACTATATTTAAAATAAGCCGAAGGATTCGGCGCACAGTGTTCCAAATCAGAAATTTGCCAGCCATAATTTATTAAAACGTTACATTACATTTATAACATATAGTATGATAAAATTCTAGTGGGTACTTAAGACAGTAAATAACACTGTTCTGTCAATAAAGGTTTTGGGGATTAAACTCGCCCACTCCCTCCCGCAAAAATGTTTCGATTTATATATTATGCTGTATCAAATAACGTATAGAAATTAAATCGCAACAAACTCGGCCTTGCTAACAGTCCTACTGAACAGTGTAGATTGTTATTGTTAAGTCGAGTAGTACTAAGTAACTTTATCCCTATTATCGATAGTATAAATAAATAAATAAGTAGGTAATATAAAACAACGTAACATGTAAATCGATTTTGTTTATTTAAGAGCGATTTGGAGCAACTGAATATTAAACGGGGATGTGCACTATATAGTTCCTGCTATGTATAAATATAACTTTGGTCGTGGCGCAAACATTAAAAAAATGAAATAAACAATTTGTTTTTTGTTTTTTTTTTGTTTTTTTTTTTTACACGTACCATTACTAAGATAAATATAATGTTTACAATCGTGCAAGTATGTATTACTTTTAAAGAGCTCATAATCGCTTATAGAATGGTGTTGATTTAACGATGTACAAATATTTTCTTTTTAAACACTCTACCAAAGTTTACAATATTTAGGTACAAACGGTAATAAACAGTGTAATACGTAATAAGCTACTTTAAAACCCCCTTTATAAGTCTGCTTATAGTTACGATTTCACTTTCAGGTTAGCAAAAAAAAATTTAAAAAAATGTATGTTATGACCGGCAAATTTCTGTTTCGGAACACTGTGCGGCGGTCAGGCCTTTCAAATGGGTGTTCCGAAGGGAGAACTCAAGTGACAGGCTAGGATAAAAACGGACGGACGGCGCGGAAGAAGATTTAAGTGCGTTGGATATATCCTGTAGTGGAATTTTCACGACAATAACGGTACGGAGACTGACCGCGTGATAATGTTTCGGCGGCCAAATGCCGGAGAAAGAAAATAATATAATCTATTTCAATGTTTGAACATTTAAAACCCATCAAACGGTAAACGGGTCGTTACAAGGCGCCAATGCTTTCGATTTATCCTGTAAATCGTTTCATGCGCATATAAATATTAATCGTCGTTATTACACGTCGTCGTGTATCTAATGATTCGAGTACAAGGCATGCTATATAATATACTGATTGTTGTAATGTATGTAACGAGTCGGTTTATACACATACGTTATATTTTTATAGTCAAAAGAACACGGTGTCGTATAACATGATAAGTGCATTGTTTGGTGCATTTGTTTGAAAAAATTATAATGTTCCCACGTACAGGTAGGTACCTATATATTATAACACAATATAGTATAATATACACACATAGAGACGTAAAACACCAATTTTTCTAGCGAGTAAACCACATAAAACTAGTGCTCCCCTTTCCCCCCCCCCTAAAAAAAAAAAAACCACTCAGCTTTTTCACATAGTAACAATTAAATATTTTATCCGCGAGGTATTTCATAATTAATGAACAGAACGAAATACGCAGATTTCCTGTACAGACGCGTATATCAAAATGAATGTTAAAATAGTTATGATAAATTTTGTACGATACATAAAATTGTAAATGAAAGGTGTAGTTGACTGTTGTAAAGGGGACTGTGGGAGCATGGGAGGAGCTCCCATGGGTCTTTGATTTGTCCATAATATTAGCACCCCCAAATTTGGTGGCCTAGTCACGCCTATGCGGCTATAGGATTGGGGGATTGTTCGCAGTATAAGCGCAGACTTACGAAATCTCAAAATTATAATTTCGGCACGAAACCCGCATAATCTCGCGATACCGAGTTAGTGTATCGTTTGTCAAGGGCCGAGGACGTTTTTCGACTCGAAAACGTGTTTTACGGAGAAAACTTTCGCACCTCATCATTGCAGAGTGCGAGTCCGATTTCGATTGGTTTTTCGTTGGAAATACTATGACGTCCTCCGGCTCGCGCGTTGCACTCCGTTTTTCGATGTTTTCATCGCAAATTCGACAATGCGCCTTTCTTTACACCGTTATTAATTTGAAAACGAAATGGAAAATCGAAGTTTAACCGCGAGCCGCGTAGAATGTCGTTATTGTTTGATCGATTAAAAACGAAATGCCGTCAGGAAAATATCGCGAGGGTTATCACTATTCCCGCAAAAGTCGTTTTTCGATCGGTGAAAATGCGTAAAACCGGCACTGCCTCCCACCCCCCCCAAGTCGTACATTGTTGTTTTTTCCCCACCCCTAGAATAAATGCGAAACACGTCTCTATGTTTAGGTACCTATATTAACGTATACCAGGTATAGAAGAACTTAACGTGCGGATATCACAACGTGACGAGCAAACGAGTGGTGACTGGATAAGGTTTCTAGTGTTTGTGATGTGGTGAACATAACATGACAGTTGCTACACAATAACGAACAGCGTTCTCCGAAGATTCGTGCGGTCGACTGTAAGATATATTACATATGTTTTTTTTTTTTGTCATATTACGATCGTGCTATATAATGTTAAATAATATACGAGCGTGGCCGTGGAGTGATGCAGCGACACTATAACAGAGGTGCATATATAAACAATGGTGGACAATGTTGTGGTATTTTACCACGGTATCCGGACGACATGTGGTGTAACAATTGACTCTGCTGCTGTTGGTCGTCCGCGACTGCGGCGCCACCGCCGCCGCCGATTTGCGTAATCTGAGGATACGGCTCCGGCACGGACGGTTTGTGCACGGAGTAAAACATGTTCCCGCCGTGGTTGTTGTGAAACGTCATTTGCGGCGTCGGCGGTAAAGCCGTGCTCGTCGACGTGCTGCTGACCGACGTGCCGCCGTTGACGTGCCAGTGTTGCGTGGGGCTGTGGGGCCCGGCGGCCGTGGCCGGGGCGACGGTCTGGTGCGACTGATAGTAATACGGATGGTAGTGCTGGTGTTCCTGTTGGAAATAGTACGACGGTTTCGCGGTCTGGTCGGCGGTGACGAACGACGGCGACGGCGACGGGTTCGCGATGTCGTTGACGATGTAGTTGTCCGCGTAGCTCACGGCCGTGGTGGGCTGATAGGCGTGATGGTTGTGCTGATGCTGTTGCTGTTGCTGCTGATGGTACTGATGCTGGTGTTGCTGTTGTAGTAGTTCTTGTTGTTGTTGTTGTTGTTGTTGTTGTTGTTGTTGTTGCAGAAACATAGTGTAGTGGTGTTGAAACTGAGGGTATTGCATCAGGAACTGTATGGCTTTATAGGGTATACACGAAACGGTATTACATAGTAACAATGTAACACAGCAATAGCAATGATAACAATGATGATAATAATAATAATAATAATAATAATAGGAAGGTGCACGGTTTTTCAAAAACATAATTCTTAACTACTATATATACTACGTATTATTTCGGAGAGGGCATCGACGATGACGGTCGTAGAGTCCGGATTAAAATGCTTCAAAAACCGTTGGCAAAGAGTCGAAAACGCCATTTAGAGAAATATATTACCTTTCAGGCGCGGATCCAAGGGGGGAGGGGGGAGGGCCGTAATCATTATCTACGTCATTGTTTAAAAATTATCCGATAGGTTTTTAATAGCTCGTCATGGTAAGCCCCTCTCGTCATTTGTGATTTCTGGATCCGCACCTGATACTTTTAGAGAACGATCCGTAAATGCTTTAGAAATTTAACAAAATATGAAAAATGCGAAACAGGAAAAAACTTCACTTTTGTAGTCGTTTATTTGTTCGAGCCGGATTGGCGATCCGCAGCATTGATGACGAAGTCTATGATGATAAAGTAAATTTCACGAAAATCGAAAATTCTAGATACATTATTTTAACTTGTCTAAATTTAAACTATCAATTCGTATATAAAATATATGCACATATAAAATCGACAAAAAAAAGTGGGTGAAATCAAAGTTTCACTTTTTAAAGTATACGTTAAGGGGAAACGAACTGTATACCCGGGAAGCATTGCCATTAGAGAATTCTCTCACCCCCGAAAAATGCACCTTGCGTCGAAATCCGTGCGACGCATCCGAATCCGAGAGTGTTGAACGTTCGATAATATTAATAAAAGATGCGAATGGAAGTAACGAAGTATTTTTTAATACGAGAATGCCTGTAAGCCGGACAAGCTCATGTCTCGTTTTTAATAAGTCAAATGATACAACATCGCTTCCCATCAGAATAAGAAAAAAAGCCGAATATTCGGAAAATTTGTTTTCAAAATTATCGTCGGTAATCGTTAGTTCATACATAGCGATTAATGTAAACGGTCTTTGTCCAGTGGGTATATTTTTAGAATTTCCGAATTTGGCGTGGTGCACAAACACGTGTTTTTAGTTTGATAAAATATCAACGGCAAAATGTATTTTAATTGAATAAACGTCGTCAATTTATGGAATTATTAACGTTAATTGACCCATTTAAAAAAAACAAACGGATATAATTCGCACGATGGGTGGGCCACTGTTGTAGGCGAGAAGTTAGGAAGGTAAAGGGACAATTTTATGTACTCCACGATTATTCATTGCTAACGGAAAAAGATTCCGAGTGGAATTTGGTTACACGTTATTTTGAAAGGCCGGTAATATTTACGATTTGCAAATAATACATTTCGTAAATTTTCTCCGTTTTTTCCTATTTATTATGAAAATTCCTGGGAAAATCAAAAAATGATCTCCTGAAAGTACAATCCCAGTAAGATTTTCTTTCAGATAAAAAGTGTTACGCTTGAAAAAGAATCTAAGATCAAAACCGAGTAGTGGTTTAAACTCCCCCCCCCCGAAAATAAATATGATGGAAATAACTGAAATGTAATATTTTTGAGTTATCCGTTTAGTTCATAAAAAAAAAAATCCACGAAAAGTAAACCCTTTCCAAAATAATGGCCGTGTTATTGTCGAGGATTACGTTGTAAATAATTAAAAAAAAAAAACAAAAAAACCGCACATTTCCTCGGGTCTGCGGGACCCTGCGACGCGTCTATAACGAAAACCGATTGATCGATTGATGATTTTTCCGTAGCAAGCGTGAAAATGGCCGCTGGCGTTCTACGAATCGATTACGTCAAAATTCAAACCGAAATCGAACGTCGAAACCAACGCCTGCCAGAGCTCAGATGTTATTATCGGAAGAGAATCGAAAACAAAACGAGAATCCCGGCGTGAACAAAAATTATAATTATTAAAAACCGGTTCGTTTTTGCGATCGTGCCGAAATGCTCGGCGGTTTATGGCGCGCGGAGAAGTCGGCCGAACGAACCCGAAAATAAAAAGTGAAAGCACCGAGGAATTTACGGCATGCGATGTTTCGTTTCGGGCGCTGTTGTTATTTGCGGGACTCGAGTATTATAAGCAAAAGTGAAAACGTTTATAATTACGGCAGACTGTTTAATATTACAGACGTGTTTGGCGTTATATTGCCCGGCGAGTATTTGAGTCACAGAACGGTTTTTATGATTTCCAAAAAAAAACAAAAAAGTAATATGTTCAAGGCGTCCGACGGACGTTCGAAAAAAACAAACAGAGATCGTCTTCGGATAAAAATAAGCGGTTTCGGTACCGCGTGGTGCGGTGATAACACGCGAACCAAAAAAAGACGACCCGGATGGGCGAAATCGGAACGACAATCGGACGGGGTACGACAGAGTTGTAAATCTCCCAGTCACGGGGCTAAATATTAATAATATTACGTACAAATGTACGCAGACGAAAAATGTCCGAGGGTTTTTGTTTGATTTTTTGTGTACAAGACTTTGAAAAATCGGAGCGAAATACTGCCACTGTAGATACGTATCCGGAACGAATATTGTAAAACGTACACGGTATTTCGCCGCGTATAATAAAGAAATTCGAATTTCTCGTGTAAAATGTCCGCTGATGACGCGGACGCGTCCCGTCACGTACACTTTCTGCCGGATTTACGACGACGATCGTTTTTTTTTTATGAAAACCAATGGCCAGTTACGAAAAAAAAACTCGGCAATTCGATTTTCATTGTCATAATATTCGCGTTTTCGGGATAACATTGATGGACGTAGTCCGTTCGGCTCCCGTTTTACAAAATGGAAAATTACCAAGCGGCTACGGTTTTTACAACACAAATTCACAAATACACAAATTGTGCCGTAAATCCATATCGCATATCCGGTTAAATTTTATAAACACAATTGACCGAATTCGATAAACCAGATAAAATTCGTTCAACAACAATCCATAAAGGCATAATATACTGTTCGATACGTGAAATCCGATATGACACGAATGTTTTCCGCGTCGTATCCGCAGTACTTGTCGTGTTACGAGAAATGCACGCGTTGTGCCGAATACCGGAGCCATTTGGGAAATCACCTACTAGCTCCGCACAACCTTTTTCGACGGGAGCCGTTTGGGAAAAAGCAAACAGCTGTGGACGGGAGCCGTTTTGGGTCGCACCGATATTGATACGACCGCTGCAGATCGCTAACAATAATCGCGTCTTCCCACGTCGCCGACTTCCCGTATTGTTGACATCCCGTTTTGCCGCCAAATAAATCGGTTTTATGAGGTATTAAAAATCTTCCCGTTCCGCCGACATCGGTTGTACCACTATTTCGAATTGAAATATTATTGTCGCGATGAAATTATTACCTACTAAAGGAATTCCCGCGCCGCGATGAGCGGCACGAGCGTAAGTAAATATGTAAATTTAGTATTATCGAAAATACGAAAACTACGGACAAGAACAATAGCTGATGATCGACTACTGGACATGTGTTCAAAAGAATTTTTTATTTAATATTTTCCTAATTTGAGTGTAGTACAGTGACAATAATCTAAGGGGACCAGTGTGATCCCTTGCAAAAACGACAGCGAAAACGAGTCGTTTTAACATGAGCCACGGTAGCGGGACGGAGTCGCGAGTGGGTGTACTTCGAGCAACGTGTGCGTCACAGGTACAAGTGTTAACGAAATAAAACGTGAGTCGGCCGCACGGAACTGAACCACGATGACGACCTACACCCGGGTGCCTCGGGGTGAGGGGTGAGTGGGAATCGGAGTCTCGAGTCCCCGTCTCTAAACACTAAATGCGACGATTCACGGGGCTAAGCCGCCGATAAGTACAGTGTTTACCTGTAAATCGTTAACGACAACAATATGGTTAATTTGTTATTACCGGACGGTACCGACACGCGCGTCAACGTATAAATATTAATGTACAAAACCTTATAACACGAATACAAATAACTAGTAGACTATTAATATTGCACGGCGTTTGTGACGTGTCGGAACTTAAATATTATTACGCGACGATTACGTCGGACGACTCGTGTCCGCGACGTGTTTGTTCCAAAAATCAAACGTTAAAAAAACGTACTCGCGTTACAAACACGGCGGCGGCGCACACAATACGCAATACGAGCGAAACGCCCGTGTAGAGTTGTCAAAACTCGTATGTGAAGCTATCGGTTTTTTTTTTTTTTCTAAGACTTACACATTATACGCGGCGCGCAGTCATCGTTACGGACGGATGTTTAAAAAAAAAAAAAAAAACGAGAACCGTGACGGCAGTACAGTAACTGTTATAATGTGTGTGTTTGCGCGTGTTATAAGCATGTGTGTCATCGGAACAAAAACAATACGGCCGCGCCGGTCGTCTCGGCGTTACATTGTTCCCGGTATGTAATAAAAATTTGCGCGCGCGCGTATATTGCAATACGACACGTCACCGTCATTGTCATTAACGCGGGCCGCAGTGGCGTGCGGCGTTTTGATAAACGGAGAGAACGGGAGGAGAGAGAAAAACGAAAAACGAGAAAAAAAAAAAAAACGAGAACCGTGACGGCAGTACGACCGTAAAAAGTTTTGCTCTAATACCTGCCGGGCGCACCGTGCCCGCCCGCCCATCATGGTATCGGTTTTCCGTCCGAGAGAAACGATAAAAAAATACCGAGCGGTTATTACGACGAACCGTGCCGTGTCCGACGGCCGGCACGACGCAACGTAATAATAACAATAATATCACTGCACGCGCGCGGGCGCGGGCATGTAGACTTTTTTAGTTTTCCCCGTGTTCCTATTGCGTTTCGTCGCGACGCCCGCGGTGTCGCCGTTGCGTAAGGCGGCGGTCAGGTTTGGCCAGGTCGCGGCGCCCGGACCCGTCCGAATACGCGCCGCGCGCCCAGGTCGATAAATGCTACGACACTGTACGCGCGGACCGGACATCCCTGCACCGGCCATATTGCACGCGGGTATACTGCGAACGGAATAGTCGGCCTGGTTACCGTACACGGTTGTGCGCGGTTACGGACACCGGTTTGTGGTCGACGACGTTTTCGCCCTCGTTTCTAATCAATCTGATTTATGCGGATTTTTTTTTTTTTTCTTCACACTATTGTAATCGACGGGCAATAGGACGATTACCACCTATTGATTTGCCTCCGAATAATACGACCGCTGTCACCTATGGTTGGTGTACCACGCCTAAACCGAATGTAACCGGTACGCTCTTCGATCGCACTTGGACGACGCACGGCGTGTCCCATTCGTGTACGCGTTACCTATTTACGGCGGTAAGGTCCGGAATCACGGGGGACACCTGCCTAACGGTGACGGTGTTCCGGGTCCGGCCCGAGCGCCCACTTTTTAAACTGTTCCCCCCCCCCTCTCGCCCGTTATGAGACCGGAACGTGTCGCGCGTTTATTATTTGTGTACGCGTTGGCCGCAGGGTTCTTTTTAACGAAAAAGGTGCACGCCTCTCCCGCGCGCGGTCGCGGTAACCCTCGGTTTACAGTCATATTCCCCGTGCTAAGAAGCCGAGTTTTGTTCGAATCGAATTCTCCGTTCCCCCCTATGCAGTCAGGCGCTTAGACTACGAATACAGTGTCCACTCGTACAACGCCTGGACGTTGTGTTTTTGGCAAACGGCCACCGGATTTCTGCTTCTCGGCGCGCGCCACTGGATGCAATATGTTATACACAGACAGGTGTCACAAGAGGTTCTTAATAAATATTATGAGGGAAAAAAAAACTCACTGGCATTTTCTATTGTTCCGACCGAGTTAGAGGCCGCCGTCACGGACGACGACGACGACGACGACGAGGATCCGGACGTTTGGATTTTGTCTCTGGACACGCAGCACGACCATATCATTCCGCCGCTGCACAAATCCACCGGTTTGCCGCCTTCCAACACGCACGATATGCTCAATCCGCAGTCGAACTTGTTACCGTTGTACCAACACGTTTGAGGAATCACTAAAAAAAATTAGAAAAAAAAAAAACACAACGTATTATTAAGTGTCCGTATAGGTATATATGGAATGTATTAAAATACATAACGTAACGAATGAAAACGTTTTAAATATACGTGGTACGTTTCTCCTAATCGCGACGGGAAGGGCCGAAGGGGGCTAAGGCCCAGCGGCCGATTCGAGGGGGGGGAGGGACTGAGAGAGTCCGCAACCCTCTTGACAGTTATATTTGTAGTCATAATAATACGAGTTAACAATATGATTATAGATCGTCGTTCAAATTGCGGTTAGACCAATTATATTATTACGATAGTCGATAATATCGTTAATTGAAAGCAATCATATACGTATTTTATATTTAGTATTCATTGTTCAAAATTAATGCGAAACATTTTGCCCCCCTCCCCCTCCGCGAAAAATAATAAAATCCCATATCCGCCACTGACATGGCCGATCTTCTTGAAATCAAGTACTTATTATTACAAATACACCGTGATAAATACGAATTCCGGGGGCTCAATTTTCCTGAGGCTATTTCCGCCTGTATACGGACCACCACAGTCGATCAAACGCCCCCGGGGGAGGCGGCACGAGAAGGATTTTGAAAGGATGGTTTTTTTTTTTTTTTTTTGTTGTTGATGTGTGCGCGCGCGTGTGTTTGATTTTTGATATTTTATTAAATAATGACAGTTTTCGGGATTCTGCGGATGACGACGGAACATTTTAAACATTTTTGAATGCGTCGTTATAATTTCCAATATACGCAATATTATACAACGATAATATATTATTGTGTTCTATATATAAATATACACTGCACACAGACGAGTCGCATACGTCATATTTTTACATCGCGTAAAAAAAAAAAAAACAAAACGGAAAAAAAAACCCGACAAAATATTTAATCGGAAAAAAACCCATCGGAGAGGAAAATATCTGCTTTATTGACGGTGACATAACGACGAGGAAAAACAACAACGAGAAAAAAAAACCAATTACAATAAATTTATGTTGTCGACTCGCCGCGTGTTACGTATACGACGACTGCGGCGTTCGATTTTCGGAACTCTGTTCGAATTGCGATACAAAATAATGTGTCCCCCCGAACGACCGATTCATCGTCGCCAAGCCAAAACTGCAGGACGTATCGGGCCGAAATTTCACATTCACACAGCTACTACATCCGCTAATAAACGATTTTTTTTTTTTGAAAATTCCACCTCCAAGCGAAGGGATTAAAATAGGGATTTTTAGGTGTTTTCGGTACGGACATCTACGATTGCTTAGTTATTTGTTTTTGTTTACCGGTTGGTCACCTAGTCAGCAACACCGGTGACAATGTTTCGGTCGTCACTGACAAGAAAACGACTGTTATTATTTACTATTACGCACCATAACGTAGCAACAGCAAAGTATTGCCGGGTTAACTAGCAGTACTAATAATAATAGGTACACGTATGGTACATTATTATAGGTAATAAATTGAATACAATTAATTATTGGTTAATTACAGTGATTGACACGCTAGAGCCGTCTGATTCGACCGTATTATATTAAGTTATTTTATTGCGATTCGGCTTGAGGGAACATTCGCAGTGTCTTGAAATTCGGACGGAACAATTATATTTGTCTTTTCTAGAAGCGGTAAAATTTTCAGAACATTTTAGTCATTTTTTTCTATCTGTTTGTAGACATTTTAATTCGGGTTGGGGGAGAGCATTATGGCGCATTCCTAACAATATCCCGTCACCGGATCGACGGAAACCAACAAAATTCAAACACCAACGTTGATTTTAACTACCACTGTCCGTCTGTTTGCGGACGTTTTCTAATGCGGGCTGCCGTTTAAAAATCAAAAGCGGATAGTACTTTCACCCCCCCCCCCCCCCNCCCCCCCCCGAAAATTGGACTGGAAAAAAAACAACGTGAACGCATAACCGCAGAGTGACTCGTTTCTGGAGTTGTTTAGCAAACGAATTCACGGAAAACGTTAACGGACCCCGAGACGATGATAGCGTCTTAGTGCAATAGATCGGTCCGCTCGCACGGGGTATTCGCAAACAGGTCCGAAACGTTTTGTGCGCAGAAAAAAAAAACCGATAACAATAATGTTGTTCGCCGTATAAACATACGATATTTGTTTTATTTATTATCAAGTTTCATCCGGCCCGTAGCGTTTAACCGAGTCGCCGGCCGTGGCCGTCGATAGTCGCGGCGGCGCAAGGTATCCGCGCGAATGGCTAAAAAATCAAGAAAGGAAAAATACGGGCGGCGGCCGAAGAAAGTGAAACCGCGTCGTCAGCGTTGCTTTCGTTTATACGCAAATACCCGACGACTATCGCGTACGTGGGTATATAATAATACTACTACTAATAATAATAATAATCACGAAATAAATTATTAATATTATTTCGCCGTGTAGAAACCTGCGCGCGCGTCGGTCGAAAAAATAATAATAAAAAAATCACTCGTTGTAAACCATACCCGTAATTCCCGCGCTATAAAAACTGTAGAAAAAAAAAAAAAACGAAAAATTCACGGCGTACCGGCGACAGGTACGCAGGTACGTACGGTCGTACACACACCCGGATATACGATATCAAGACGCGCGTACGTCGCGTTCGACAATCCGAATAATATCGTTTTTCGCGATTTTTTTCCCCGCTCTCTCTCTCTCACTGCGGGGTTTCGATTTCGCGTTTTCGAGCTTAAATATCACGCGGCGGACGACAATTCACGGTCGTTTTTAACGACGACGGCGACGGAACGTACGAAAACTCTCCGGCCGAGCCATGAAATGTACATCCGTGACTTGGCGCGGGAAGGGCGATTTTTCGAAAAAACCATTTAGAAGTAAAATAAAAAAAAAAAAAAGAAAAAATCTCGAAAATTACACATTTTAACGAACAAAATGCGCCGAGCGTTATGGTGGGGGGGGGGGTTAAAATTTCAAAGCCCGTTTCCCGGCAATCGCGAAACGTGACATTGGCCCTTCTTGTACCGAGCCAAAGACAATACAGCGCATTACAATAATCGCACGACTTGTCGCGCTTGAAAAAGTCTCCTATACCGCCTCCTCTCGAACGAGTCTAATTTCGTGTGGCGTTAGAAAATGTCCACGTAACACAACGGGGGACTTCGGAATCAGGGAGATACTGGACACTACGACGACCATCGTCTATTTTTTCCGGCATCAATGTTAACATTGTTATTTCCACGACGACATTTTATAACCTCGCGGAAAACCGTTCGAATTTCCACAGTCGGGGAAAATCGAATGTGTTACCCCGCGCGCTGAACACGTCGGCGTCGGCGGTAAATCCCGAACGGACGGATTGAACGGCGGCAATTGGAACAATGGCTTACGAAAGTATGTGTGAATTGAAAATCGATAATTTCTGTTTAGCGCGAGCACGTGTAATTGCAATTTCTAAATACGGGCGTCTCCTTTTCGTCGGCGGAATCCCGAACGCGCCGCCCGCGTAAGATATAACGTGCGCGGAAAGAAAAGTGAAAAAATTAAAAAAAATTAATAATAATAATAGTTTTCGACAAAGAACGCGTAGGCACCGACCTGAAATCGCTCCGCTTAACCTCGGTGAAAGTCATCAAGGATGTACGGCCAAGTACAATGGAGTCGCGAGCGCATTTTATTCTAAACGGAAAACCTATCCGCGGTGCCCACGTACGTGGGTATACGCGCGTTCAGACGGCGCGCGATCATTATCAGATAATTACCGGTTGAGCGCAAGAGAACACAATGTATAATTATGTCGCACACGCGGCTACGTGTACGATACGCGGAGGGGCGAGCAGCACGTATCGCATTATCGTAGTCCCGACTCGCGTGTTGTAACTGAAAATTAAAAAAAAAACACCACAAACCAACGCTGCGTTGTAGATTTCTCCGAGGTCTGTGCGACCAGGACGTAGTATACCTTTTTAAGGGGTGCGAGTGCGCAATCGTGTCGAAAACAGCGGTGCGGCCGTCGTACACGTAGCGCGTTCAATTTTCGCACCCGCCGTGCGAGTTGAACTCGTTTAATCAGCGGCGTGGCGTGCGCACGCGAGCAGTGTAAGCGTTCGGAAACACTTTCGGCTACGAAACGTCATGGGTGTATTTTCAAACGAACAATTTGGCCCGCGATCGAGCTGTAGTAATGTAAAATTATGCATTGAAATTTCAAGCAAACGTGTTCCACGTGCCCTGCACGCCCCGACCATATAATCTTATACCAATAATCTTCGGCGATATTACGAACGCCGCGGATCGAATAGCCGACGAAACGTATTTTTTTTTTTTATTTTTCGCGTTTCGTTTTTGTTTTTTCTCGGGAATCAATAGCGATTCTACACGTTTCGTTATAATATCCGTCGAACCGTCGAATCGAGACGACCGAATCTCGAAAATGAAATAATAATATATAATATAATAATATTATAACGATGACGTTTGTCGTGTCCGTATCGTCGAATTAAAAAAGTAAAGAAAAAAAAAAAATCATCATCCAGTTATCGAGATTTACTCGGTGTGTATCTATTAGACCAAGAAAAAAAAAAAACGACAGTGATTTCTTCACGGAATTTAAGGAACATTAATAATGACAAACGATAAAAAAAAAAAAATCGTCGTTTTAGAAGCGTGGTTAATTACGTTCGGTTGTGGTTGGTTTTTTTGTTGTTTTTTTTTCTTTTCGTCATCCATTCCCCCTCCCCCCCACCCCCATCTCCTCCGGCCGTTGCGGCGGGATATCGGTTTCCTTCGAGCGATTCTTCTCTCGTCTTCCTTTTTAATCAATCGGAAATGTCAACACACCCGGACCCGAGTTCCGCGTGGGTTCCCGGCTGGGCGGATGTTATACAAACGCGCGTTGCGTGTTGAGAAGATTATTATTATTATTATTATTATTTCGGCGGAGCGCGAAAAAAAAAAAAAAAAATAAAAAAAAATTACCAAAACCAAACGGACATTAATTCGCTGTACACGGCCGGGTGTGTTCGTAACGATCATTACGTTCGGCGGTGCGCGGGTACAGGAGGAATTACGGCGGGCCGTTCGCGTTACGGACGTCACGGAAAAAAATCAAAAACCAAAGGCCTGAAAAGCGCCGCGTAGAAACGTTTTCGTCGGGCCGAATACCGAGTGATCCGTTCGAGTGGGTACACTCATTATCCCGGAAAGCATTACGTTTTTCCGGAATTTGTTTTCTGGAAACAAGCTGCTCTAAAATTTTACATTTACGTTCTTTTTTTGTCACCGTTATTTTCCCGATTTTGATATTTTTTTAAAACCCGTCGACGAAATATTCTACTTTTAAGTTTTGGCCCGGGGAAAGTAGTGGCACACTATTAACACGCCGTGCGCCACACAAATGATACTCCACTGCTATCCTCCGACCCAAACTTAAATAATGGAAATATCCCGTCAACGGGTCGACGAGAATCAAAAATGTCAACATTAAAATTTGTTTAACTAATACTCCAACTATTTACGGACATTTTAATATAGGTTGCCGTTTGAAAATCAAAAAGTAAGTAGAGGCTTTACTCACAAAAATAACGGTGACAAAAAATAAAATGAAAATGAAATTTTAGAGCTACGTGTTTCTATGAAATGTTCTAGAAAACAAATTCCGAAAAAATTCAATACTTTCCGAGATAATGAATGTACCCACATAAATGCATCACTCGGTACACGGAAACGAAATTTGTCCTCGTGTTTTCATCTCCCCTGTTATTAATATGTTATAGATACTCTCGAATTCGTCCGGTTAGGTTAGGTTAGGAACTTAATTGCCCGTGTCAGCGTTAAGCTATTGCCAAAAACCGAACGTTGTGCAAAACGACAAACGACTTTCGATACGTATGAAAAAAAAAATAAACCGAATCAGTTGGCTCGATTAACTTGCTAAAACTTCTAAAAGAAAACAAAACGGTACATTACAAAAAAAAAAAAAAAAATCGAAAAATTGTTTTTGGACACGAAAACGAACAACAAAAATATGTTCGTCTACACGTTTTTTACTCTCGGTTGGCTCGCGTGTAAGAATTGCACGACGATGGTTTGCCGGGTTTGAAAACGAATTTCGAATACGATTAACAATACAATGCGGACGGAAATGCGCTGTACCGTTCGCAACAACCAAATACATACTTTTACCCAACATGTCCATGAGATCGTTTTGAAAGCCTTTGGAACCGCTGGTGGGCGGTCCGTAGTAACCCGCGTTGCCGGCGGTCGCGTTGATGAAACCGGACTTTTGGCCGAGCACCTCGGCCAAAAGGACGGCGTTGCTTTCGGCGGCCACGGGCTGAAGCGACGTGGACACGGCCGACGGCGACTTGGTGGAGTACGACAACCGCTTCGAGTACCAGTTGGACGGCGGCGAAGACGATTCCGCCGACGCGTCCGGAGAGGAGTGTTGTTGCAGAACGTGCTGTTGGTCGCGGTGCGGCTGTTGCGTCGACGGCGGCTGCGGGTGCACGACGATCTGCACTTCGGACAGCGAAGAGGCGGCGTCCGATCCGGCCACAGCCGTCGGCCACTGCAGCTTGTCGGGTCGAAGGGCCGCGGCCGTTTTGTCTTGATAGTGATGTTGTTTGGACGAGCTGCCGCCGCCGCCGCCGGCCGCGGCTCGCCGGCGGCTGCTGCCGATGATCCATCCGTCGGCCGGATCGGCCGACGACGACGCACCATCGTTGACGTGATGGTACGTGTTGACGGTTCGGCGGCGCAGCACCCCGTTACCGTTGTAACGGTCGTCGCCGTTGTCGTCTTCGCTACGATGGTCGTCCCGGCCGCCGCCGCCGCCACCGCTATCCGTATCGCGGCCGGTCCGTTGTTGCAGGCCGCGGTGGACCTGCACGAGCCGACCGCCGGACGCGGACGACGCGAAAATCGCGTCGGCCGAAGAGGACGGAGACGCGACGCCGCAACGGCAGACCGAAATGGCCGCTATGACACGTATGACAATGGAGTGTGACCTCATGGCAACGCGATCCGGACAACGCAGCGGGTGATCGAGGATCAGTTCTTGTGGATCGTTTCGCGTTGTTATTGTCGCGAAAATATCACAATACCGTATAAACACCGTATATTGCAATAATTGTGCGTGTAATACAATATTACAACGATAGCCAAAGGCCGCGGTCGCAGCGGTGATGACGGTGACGGTGTTCTTCGGGTAGTTGCGCGTGGCCGCGACTCGCCGACATTGACCCGCACGGCCGCGATACGATCGGCCTACGACGATTGTTTACGGTGACGACGGTGATGAACGACGATGATCGTGTCGATGATTGCGCAACATCCGTCGACGCCGCCGCGGTGAAGACGAGTGGTGATATTGGCACGCGAGTAAATATATATATATATATATATATATATATATATACGTATATATGTATATAAATAATCCGATCGCGCGGAAACTATCACTCCGCCGACATTTATTTATGTATGGTACGTATGTATGTATGTATGAGTACAACGCCGAGCGGCAAGTGGTTTACCTTGGATTCCGGAGCGTACTTACAATGTCACGCAACACGAGCGTGTCCACTTTCTTTCTGTTTCTAAATACGCGCCGCGCTCGCGCACACACACACACACACACACAGTCGTCGTTGTGTTGTATTATTATTGTTATTTTATATTTTCTATATCTGCAGACGCCGCGGCACACACACGTTCACTTTCACTCGCGGTCACCGAGAGTAAAATAACGAGTATAGCGGGTTTATATTATCGCAGTGGAAAGAAAAAAAAAAAAAACATAAATAAATAAGCAGTAAAAAACCGATAAATAATAAAAATTACGACGGTAATGATATATTACACGTTCGCGTTGTCGTCGTCGTCGTTGTTGTTATTATTGTTATTATTATATCCGGAGACGTGTATAATTGTGTAGGAGAGACGATTTCTAGAAGAAATTTATAACGCGCGCGAATTGAAATTAACGGGAGGAGAAAAAACTAAAATAAAACGTTTTTTCTAGTTATTATTATTATTATTTTTTCTTTTTACACACTTTGAAAAACGTATACTATCACGTTATCGCGCACTTTTCACTCCGGTATCACGACGCGCGGTAGTCCACGGTGAATCGGAGAAAAAAAAATTTATTCTTGTTATTGACACTTACCGCCGCCGCGTCGATGCCGAATAAGTAGTCGACGGTATCGCGACCGTTTGTGTCCGCGACGCGATAACAATGTACGCGATTGTTTCTGTATAGCGAGATGAGACAAAAAAAAAAAAAATCCGCGTACAGCAGTGTACGAAACGGATTTCAATAGGGCGTGCGTCGAATATTATAAATTATTATTGTATGTGTGTGTATGGGTGCTAACGACGACGGCGATGAGAAATTTTCTTTCTATTTAAGAGAGACGGAGAAAAAAACGCGCCGTTAACAATACAATAGCAAACGAGAGAATCGTCCTTTTGTATAACGCTATAATATTATAAATTAATGTTGCGACGATACGAGATAGCCGACGACAAAAGAGACGGAGCAGATAAAACGGACGATCACATTTGTGGTCGGTTGTTGTTTTTTTTTATTACATTTTTATCGTCGCGACCATCGAAATACTTTAACGCGGACAATAATAACAGTACGAATAATAATAATATGCGTGTTATAATATGTATAACGCGATGAAAAAGTCTTTTATTCTTCCGTTCGAAACAATATTTATTGTATATATATATATATATGTACGTGTGTATACAAATATACGTGTAAATATATATATATATATATAAATATATAGAAAGAAGAAAAAAAAATAAAAAGAGTACAAAAAAAAAAAAAAAAAAAAAAAAAAAAAAAAATTATGAAAGGAAACCGACCGAGAGCCACAGCCGCACACAAAAGACTAGTCGTGTTGGTCTGTTGCCGACCACCGTCGTCATCGTATTATCGTAAGTGTCTCCGCCGGTTACCGCTCTTTACCCGTGAACTTTCTCTTAATCGGCTCGCACGCTACCGCCGTACGTATACACCACTAGACGCAGTCGCTCCCACCACCGACACGACGAAGATTAATAAAAAAAAAAAAATAATAATAATAACAATAAAAACCGGCGATAATATAATTCGCGGCACATCAACACGTCCTTTCCCCCCCCCCCCC